GCCCCTGCCCCTGCCCGACCCATTGTCATTCTTATAGGAGCTGCTGATTTGTAGCAGTTTAATGACAGAGTCTAAATTGTATAAAATAATATTTCTCAAAGAAAAAGTCTAACTTGTATAAAATAAAATAATATTTCTCAAAGAAAAAGTCTAACTTGTATAAAATAATAAAATAGACCAAGCATTATATAATATCAACCAATTTTAAATCAATTTTTATTTTATCATAAAGTTTATACGTACATATATGCACCTACCCACGCAGGCAACCTTGACGCGAATGATAAAATAATAAAAAAATTTAATTATAAATATATTTTTTAGAATTTAAATTTTAAAATATAAATGATTCTCTATAATTTTAAAAAATACATTTTATTTGTTTATGTTTCTAATTACATAATAAATGATCTCTTTTATTAATAAATTTTCTAGTTAATTAATAATTTTTAATAATTCTATAAATATATTTCAATTAACAATTCAAATAATTTTATTATTATATAATTAACAAATCACAGGAACAATTCATATTTAAATAAAATTCAATAATATATTTATAATTTATCCTAATAAAAAAAGGCCCCATGCCCATGAAGAGTACCACAAACATCCCCCCCTTCCATCTGTTTTGAGAGATTCTCCTCATCTCTATTCTAATTACTTTTTGTAATGAATCTTATGGTTAAAGTTAAAATAAAATTATGTGGTTTTAGGTTGTGTAATTTTGATGTTATTGTTTTAATATTATTAAAAATCTGATAATAATATTCAAGGATTAACTGAAGTATCAAAAAATAAATAAATCATTTTATTTTAATTTAATTTTAACTTGAGCTGTTGAATTATGTATATTGCTAATATATCCTATCGTGATAAAAAGTATAACAAAATTATTATAAAAAAAAAATCATATTATTTTTATGTACACCAATTTTGGTCATCCACGTTTTTTGTTATTTAATAAATAAAAAGAAAGAAAGGAAGAAAATGTAAGGTTATCACCATGGCCTTTTGTTTTACTTTTGTAACACCCACTTATACAAGACTCATGAATTGGCATTTAAAAAAATAATAATAATAAATCAAAAGGAAACCTTTAAAAATAAAAAATTAAAACATAAATATTTTTTGCACCACTTATGGGTAGGCCTAATTTCATTTTAATCTTTCAATTTCAACATGCGTCACTTGCACTTCATGTGCCATGGAATGAAATTGCTAATTTTGTTTATTTGTTTAAGAATATAGCTAAATGTATTTTATTTGTATTTTTTTAAAAAAAATTACAAAAAAATGAGAAGTTGAAAATTTTATTACAAATTAGTGGAGAATAAAAAAAATTAATTATAATAGGGGTGTAAAGTATAAAATTAATAAAACATGAAATTTTTAGTTCAACATAAATTTTGAAAAATAATTTGCAAATAAATTGTAAACTTTATAAATATTAATAATTAAAATTAAAAATACTTTCATGAATTTGTAATAAGTTTTTGAAATTACCATTGAATTACAATTTTTATTTATCTCTCTCTTCCCTTCTCTCTCATCTTCTATCTCTCGTTTTCTTCTTCTTCCATATTTTTTACTTTTGCAACCTTTATCTTTGTGGAGGTTATGGTGTCGTGATGGTGTAGGGAGTCGGTTAAGGGTGTAACGGTGGTGCGGGAGAAACGTTGAAAATTTTGAAGTGGTATGGCGAGGGGTTGGTAGTGATTGTGGTGTGTGTGGGGTAGCAACGGGTGATGAAGAAAATTAAAATTAATCACCAATAAAAACATATTCAATGATAATCAATAATCCTAGTTATTATGTAAATTTAATCAAAATTTTACCATAAAGTGTATTGTAGGGTATAAATTTAAAACTAGGGTAATGCAAGTAATATCTAAAATAAATTTTATTCACACATTTTAATTCTGAATAAAATTTCAAATAATTTTTTTGGCAAATTACAAATGCATTCTTTGAAATTTGTTTAAAATACGAATTATCTCTTATGGTTTGAAAAATTACAAATTCCTCCTTATCATAATTTTTTATTTAACAAAATTAATTAAAAAAGTGAAATTTCTAACTATTCACCTATACAATAATAAAATTATCTAAATTATTAATTGAAATAAAATTTTAACATTATTAAAAATTATTTATTAACTTGATGATTTATTAATAAAAGGATCTATTTGTTATGAAATTAGAAACTTTAGGGGGCATAATGTAATTTTTAAAATCACAGGGGATAATTTATAATTTAAGTAAACCTCATGGAGTGTGTATGTAATTTATCCTAATTTTTTTGGACATATAACACAAGTGAAAGACAATTTTTCAAGGGAAAAATAGAATAATAATTTTTAAAAGAGTAAAATATAAATAGATTTCTTAAAATTTATTTAAAATACAAATTGTCCTTTGTAAATTTAATCAAAATTTTACCATAAAGTGTATTGTAGGGTATAAATTTAAAACTAGGGCAATACAAGTAATATCTAAAATAAATTTTATTCACACATTTTAATTCTAAATAAAATTCCAAATAATTTTTTTGGACATATAACACAAGTGAAAGACAATTTTTCAAGGGAAAAAAAGAATAATAATTTTTAAAAGGGTAAATTATAAATACATTTCCTAAAATTTATTTAAAATACAGATTGTCCTTTGTGATTAGGAAAATTACAAATATTTCATTGTCAAAAAAATTTATTTAACAGATTCAATTAAAAAAATAAAATTCATAATTGCTCTTCTATATAATAATAAAAAAATTGAATTATTAATTAAAATAAATTTATCATATCATTAAAAATTATTAATTAATTTGATAATTTATTAATAAAATGAATTATTTGTTATGAAATTAAAAACTTTAAAGAGTAAGATGTAATTTTTAAAAAGGGATTTTTTTTAAGGTCCCTGATATTAAGATTTTATAGCATAAAGGACATTCAATATTTTCATAATGTCTAAGGTCCCTTAATACCAATCTAAAGAAAATTCGATCCAGAGAATTTCTCTGGACAAATCAAAGAGAAAATTCCAAATTTCTCTGGACAAATCATAGAGAAAATTCCAAACTTCTTTGAACGAACACCAAATTTCTCTGGACAAATCATAAAACATTCACTCTGGGCATTGAAAAATGTTGCGACGTTGCAATAAAGACTTATGAAAAACTAAGTGAACAGTAATTGCAAACGTAATATATAGATATTACACCTAAATCAAGAAAAAAAAATTTTTTTTTTTTCTTTTTAGAAGTCTAAAGCATTTTGAATGACATGACAACACAAGTTAAGCACAGGGCTTAATCATAAAACATTCACCTAAAAAACTGTATATCAGTAACTAAACAGCACAATTGATGCACAAACTTTATTACCAAGAAACAACAACAATACCAAAAGCACACATGTACAAGAACACATCATTTGTGTAGTTGAAAAATATAATACAAGCTGTAGAAAGGGGAAATTGAATCAGTTAGACTCAACTAGTCAGAGAAAATTCGATCCAGAAAATTTCTCTGGACGAATTTTCTCTGGATTTCACAGAGAAATTCTAGTTTACAGAGATTTTCTCTGGTTCAATTTTCTCTGGACTTCACAGAGAAATTCTGGTTCATAACAAGTAGCTGGCTGTCCACCAGGAGCAGAATCTTCCATTCATATATGACGTGATAAAGGAACTTTTAGCTTCTTCCTAGCTTTCTTCTTTGCTCTTGCAGCAGCTTTAACCCAATTAAGAGAAGTCTTTCTCTGCCATTTAAGAAATGCATATATAACAGCTAGAAATCCAAATGATCTAGTAACCAGCCATCCAAAAACAAATGGGCTGTAAGTATCTGAGCTAGTTAGTATTCTTATGAATGGAATACTGGAAGCAATCATCATTGTAAAAACCTAATTTCTCGTAATCTCAATTCTTTCCATAGCTCATAGAGTTGTTAAATCCAGCACAAAACAGATTCTGGAAATAAAACCTGAACAACAAAGGACATCACCATCATCATCCGAGGAGGAAAAAATACAAAGAATCAATGCACAGAGAGATAGAGAGAGTGGCAAACGAACCAGGATTCACCAACCTGGAATAATGGAACCTGAATCTCCGTATTTACCAGCTTGGACACCCAGACCAAACGAACCAGCATACACCGACCTTACCCGAGGTGTCATATACACACTGCCGGCGACGCATTCGTGTCCAAACCATAGCAACACTCCAGCGACACACAATCTCATCATTGACATGCTACCAACCTGTGACTATCACCATCCATCGGAAAACCAGAGCAACTGATAGAGGAGACAGAGAATCAATTTTCTCTAATACGATATATGGTGTGGGTTTAGGGACCTTAGATATCAAAAAATAATATTGTGAATCTTTTCTATTATTAAAAATGAGAAAAAAATCTTAGACTAATTTTCTTTTTTTAAAATTAGATGAGATAATTTATATTTTAATTAAATCTCAATAATATAATTTATTTCTTTCTTAAAAAGTAAGATCATACCCCCGCCCCCAACCCCAAAAGGGCAAAAAAAAAAATTAACCGAAATAAATATCTTGGTGGGACCCAAAGAATAAAGTGTATGATCTGCAATTTTAACGGAAGGACCAGAGAATCAATTTTCTCTAATTCGATATATGGTGTGGGTTTAGGGACCTTAGATATCAAAAAATAATATTGTGAATCTCTTCTATTATTAAAAATGAGAAAGAAATCTTAGACTAATTTTCTCTTTTTAAAATTAGATGAGATAATTTATATTTTAATTAAATCTCAATAATGTAATTTATTTCTTTCTTAAAAAGTAAGATCATACCCCCGCCCCCAACCCCAAAAGGGCAAAAAAAAAAATTAACCGAAATAAATATCTTGGTGGGACCCAAAGAATAAAGTGTATGATCTGCAATTTTAACGGAAGGACAATCGACTCTCTCCTTTGTCCTAAAAAGCAAAACATCTTTCCTAATATATGTATTTTATTTATTTATTTATTTATTATTTTTTTTTATTCAGCTGACTTCGAGACTTTTCTTGCTTCCTCCGAATTTTCCGGGAAACTGAGTTCTGGGTTTTGTTTTCCTCTTTCTGATCTCTCAACTGAGAATCCCCATTATTGTTTATGTAAATCCCTGAAGTCATGAATGGGCATTTCAAGTTGGTGTGAAGTCAGTGACGGGTTCAGTTGAATTCTTGTTAAAAAATGAGTAGAAGAAAGAAAAGAGATTTTGATTTGAATGAAGCTGCACAGTTTTTGAACCATTTATTGGTGGACAAGCCTCTTCTACCTTTCATAATTCTTTTGATATTTGTTGGTTGGGCTGTTGATAAATGGGTTTTTTCTTTCTCCAATTGGGTTCCGCTTGTGATTGCCCTCTGGGCAACCTTTCAGGTAACTTCTCTATGCTATTTCAATGTTTTTGTGTTTTTTGAACTGGGTTTATAGTTATTGGGCATTTCATGAAATTATGTTTCTGTCTTCTTTTGATTAGTAATTTATGGTTGCACATAATTTTGAATTTACTGAAACCAATCTGGTTATTGGCTTGAGATTTGGTGTGTGATGATTGGATTTTTGCATTCTCTCTTCTTTGGATAACAAGTTATCTTATTACAATCAAAATGAAGATCAAATACAACATATCATTATTATAAGGAAAGGAAACTCCCAAATTGGGTTAGAGAAACCCCATACAAATACCAGGGAACCAGGCAAGCGAGGAGATTCGAATACATGACCTCCTACTGAGGTGCAGAGGTTAATTTAGCAGTCTGATATATACTTAAGTTACTGCAAAACCCAATTTACTTTTCCAATCAAAGTCCTCCCAATGAAAATTGGGGGCTGCACTGCAAATCAAGAACGAGCAATGGTAGAGGGCCACAAAAAGTGTGGCTCAAATGGCTCAAAACTGCCAAAACGACGTCGTTTTGTGTCGGTTTTGAGCCATTTGAGCCACACTTTTTGTGGCCCTCAAACATTTTTCATCAAGAACCTAGAATTGTATCCAAATTTATGTGTCTCTTAAAGCTCTAGAGGATATAAGTAGAGTAATAGGGAAGCAGGCGTGATTGTATTGTTATAGGAGAAAGAGAGGTAAGGAAAGCACTCACCTATTATACGTTTGACAACATATGCTATTAAAGCTTCTATATTAACTACTCCATCAATTAGCAAGGCTTTGGTGTTATAGAGTTCCATTTGATATATATTGGAAAAATTATACTCAATGGAGATTAGCTGCTGCTGCTGCTTCTTTTTTTCTTTTCCTGAAAAATTAAACACATAGGCAAACCACATATATGTTAGATGCTTATATATTAAGTATTCATCTACTGGCAAGGCAACGATTCTTCATATAAAAATTTTCTCCCGAATTATGCAATTATATGCCTCTAATCCAAAATTTTGGAGAATCACTGACTGAAAAATGTGTAATAGTTTGATTTGGGTGGAAGTATTACATTTTAATTTACATGGATTTTCAAAACCCTTTTTATAGGATTGCAGCCATGAAGCTTATCTTATTATTACTGGAAGCAGACCTTTAGGGGTTGGTCAACCCAAGTGTCCTGTTTCTTGGTAACACCCAGTTGTCCCAACCCACCCATTTATGTTCAACACTATTCCCTAGGGGGATGCACACAAACCACATGCATAGGGTAAACCTGATGAGTGTTGAACTTGAGATGCCTAATCGTGAACCATCACCTCGGTCAATATGGCAACTAACTTGTGTGGGTTGAATCCTTGGATCTTTCCTTCTGTCTCTCAATTTTTTTTTCCTTCAATTTTTCAATAGAAAGGTGTGGGATTATTCTTGTAAGGTTTGTTGTTGCCAGTAATATTTTTGTGTTTCTGTATGACAAATGCACATATATATATATATTTTTGAATAGTTTAGGAACTTGATGTATAAAATGAAGTGGCAATCAAAATCCAGGTTTCTTATTTTTATTTTTATTTTTTTAAATTTTGACAATGCAGAAGTATTGTCTTGTATCAAAATTATTTGTATTACTTGATCAAGTTAACTGTGGAGGGTTTTATTCTGAGTTCACAATTTTTGTACTATTCTAACATGAATTGTACAATGGTCATCCTTTTACAGTATCCTATGCCAATGTTTTTTATTGCTGTCCCATGGAAATCTGTCTGTCTTGCAAAGCACAGTATGATTAGCTCAGTATAGCTCATAGATGGTTTAGCTAGCCTACTTAATCATGAGGGCCCTATGTGTATATATTGCGTGGAGGGGAGCACTGTGTTGGATGAGGAGAATGACGACAAAATTTTATGGCCTTCTACTACAATTTGTTCCAAAATGACATGCTTTCTGAAGCCATTGAGGGAAATGGGAAACCAAAAGACAGTGATGAATAGCATACCCTAGAAAGTGTATACCTAAAACCCATAATCAAGTGTTAGTCCCATCCATCTGGGTTCTTGGGTGGGCCGACCTTTCAAAACAGTTGAGGGGTGCACCATGTATAGACCAACGCGGACTTAATTTTCTAAGAGAACAGTTTATCCTTAATTCAAATCCGCATTTTTAAGTTCTAACTTTACCATTGTTGATACTTAAATTTGGTAAATTAATTTTTTAAAATTTTTAATTAAAGCAACTTTATTAGGGTAAATAGTACAAGTTGAACATGAATCTTACAATCATTGTAGGAGACATGCCAACATCCAGTAAGGAACATGTCACGCCTAATGTTATGAACTTTGAGCCTAGACATGTCGGCATGCTTTTCCATGTGGAATGTTTCTTGTTTCACATGAAGCTTTTATCTGTGTGTTGTGTTGTAATAGTACTTGAATTTTCTTCCCTTACGGTATGTTTGGTTGGGGGATTTGGGAAGAGATTTGGAAAGGGAAAGGGAAAAAGTGTGTGAAATTAGGTGAAATGTAGGTATATTTTATTCATATTTCACCTACCTTTTCCTTTTCCCTTTGCAAATCCCTTCCTAAATCCCCCAACCAAACACAGCGTTAACATGGAAAAGCATTACATGAAGGAACATTTCAGACTACCACCCTGATGTGGAGAACCAAAAAGCTAATATGTTGTGGTTCTTATTTTCGCTTTACTTTTGATATTGGAATCAATTCTATTATAGATTTTCTTGAGAATTGTTTGGAAATAAATAATTCACGTGCCTATGATGAAGTTCTCTAATTTCTTCTGCTGCTCTCATTAAATGGAAGGAGAGGGTTATTTATCTTAGATATTTAAATGCACTAACATGAAATTTCAACCTTTTCAATTGCAGTATGGGAGTTATCAACGTCATATCCTTGTAGAGGACTTGAATAGAAAATGGAAACAAATCATGCTACAGAAATCAGTGGGTTGTCTTTTCTTCTTGCATTTTTTTTCAATTGGGCTCCGTTAAATTGATTTGCAGCTTTTTGGATGTTTGTACAGCCAGTAACACCATTGGAGCAGTGTGAGTGGCTGAACAAGTTATTAATGGAAATTTGGCCTAACTACATCAACCCAAAGCTTTGCATGAAGTTTTCATCTATTGTTGAGGTGATTGCCTATTCTTTATTTCAATTAATGGTCATTTCAATGTTCTCTTTAGATAGAAGGGTTCTCCCCCTCGCCAAAAATGGTTTTTCTGTATCTTGAGAAAATATTCTGTAAAAAGTGATCTAACATAATTGTTTTTTCATATAGCATTTCCTTAAATATCTATTGTAATGGCCTTATTTATTTATCTATTTTTAAACTTTTTGTTGAGACTGAACTATTGAGGACAATAAATGCTAGTCTACATTTTTTTTTCTCACTACCATTCTATGTGTTCTGATAGAAGTTGATGGGTGTGATACAATTTTTTTTTTCTTGCAGAAGCGCTTGAAACATCGAAAACCAAGGCTTATTGTAAGTGCTTCACCTTTTTATTTCACTTAATTGTACTTATATATTGGTGCTTACTATGTAATTAATTTCACTGAGAACAAGCTATCTCTTTTATAGGAAAGATTAGAATTGCAAGAATTTTCACTAGGTTCATGCGCTCCTAGCTTTGGGCTTCAGGGTATTCAGTGGTCAACTTCAGGTGATCAGGTTTGATTTCTGGTTAAAGTCATGAAATTTTATGCTTATGCTGCTTTCTATGTTTATCATGAATAAGTTATTCCCAAATGGATGGGCAGGATAATGCTCTTAGAATGTTTTGATATTTGTTGTACCCCATACCAATAGACACCCCCCCCCCCCCCCCCCAAAACCAAAAAAAGAAAAAGAAAAAGTTGATATCTTCTGATATGATTTTCTTCCAAATGATAATCAAATTAATTTAAGGTTATATTCAAAATTTTATTGCTCAATTTGAATATACCAATGGTGTTTCTCTCTCATTTGGCACATTTTTTACTGATTCTGTGTTGTTCTGGTCATTAAGTTAGTGAGTCTCTGAGCTTGTCTGAGCACATAAATATGCTGAGTTGATGCAACCCTGGGTACTTGGATGGTTTAGACCTTTCAGATGGTAGAAGAAAGTACTATTTCTCTACACTAACTTAATAAGCATTATTTATGGATAATAAAATAATGAAATTTTGATAAATAAACCAAACAAAATCCCAGAGGCCAAAGTTATGTAGTTTTTGTGCTGGTAGTTTGAATATATGTCCATATAAGTATGTGCAGACGTGTGTAGAAATGTCATCAAATTGCTATTTTAGTGTCGTTAGGTAGCTAACAGTAATTACAAATCTTTCTTGATTAAAAATAAATTATGGAGATCGTGGTTAAATATACTTTCAACATATCTTCATATTTAAAAATTATTATAGACTTTGAGAATAATGCAAAGGAAAATCTTAAAAGAGGAAAGAAGTAGACATGTAAGATTTGAATGTTCAAAAAGTTTATAAGTGAAATTGTGACAGGAATAAAGAAGATTACTATTTTCTGAGTAGGGACAAAAGTGATGAAATGATTGTCTGAAGATGTAAAACCTTTTGTCTAAAGATGATCTATACTATTACTATTATCTAATTTGTAACAAGGAGGCACAGGATAGGTTTGTGACACTACAGATAGCTGGAATTGTGATATAGCATAGGTTACAAACGTTACATTACATGAAAAAATGGAATAAAAAAATATTGGATTGTCCTCATTAATAGAACTAGAACATATACAGTTTCCCTTTTCATACTTCTAATTACTAATATATTTTGATACTGGGCTTTACTGTGGTTTTTCTTTTTTCATATTTTTTGTAAATGAAATAAAGCTCATGGCCGTTAACTCTATGTTGACAGGGAATCATCCGTTTGGGTTTTGATTGGGACTCTACTGATGTAAATATTCTGATATTTGCTAAGTTGGCAAGGCCTTTAAGGGGAACTGCCCGAATAGTCATAAACAGCATCCACATCAAGGGTGAAGTATGTAACTTTCTTTTCTTTAATTTACTTCCTTCTTATATCTAGAATTGAAAGGTTATAGCCTCTTTTTTTTTTTCTTCCTTTTTTGGTAAATGAAAAATTGAAGTCACATCTTATGAAACTGAAGAATTAGTAATGGTTCTGATTTAATGATTCTTTGCCCACCCTAGTGTAAGTCAGGTGATATGCATCTCAACCTACATAATAGAGGCTCAACTAAATGAAAAAATGAAAATTAAAGGATAATGAAAAAAAGATGATATATTTTTTAAATATTAATTAACTAAACTATGTTATGCAAAATTCTGTTCAATGAGGGGTCTTTTGTATGTGTGTATGTGTTGTGGTGGTCTGGTGGGCCATATCATCATTTTACTTGGGGTAATTTTGTTTTTAAGGGGAAAGAAATTAAAAAAATTAAAAATCCTCTTTACACAGTTCCAAAAATAATATTAGAGTGGATTTGTCACATGAATGTCCGCACCACATAGTGACAAGTGTGTATGTTATGTGATTTGATATAAGGTTTTCAGCTAGCTTCGATAAGATGCAAAAGTTTAGGCTACTACAGCATGAGATCATGTGTTTGCGTTTGATGTCAATCATTTTGTGCACATGATGCCAGATGTTAGGTCAGAACTTAATTTATTCCTCCTAGCACCTTGCTTTTGGGTTGGGTCCAACATTGGGTTGCTTCAGGAGTTACCAAATGACTCAACTATGGCATGTCTAATAAACCAAATCAAACCATGCTTTGCGTTCCAATCAATTGAGGTTGGCTACATGATTTTTTTTTTTCTCCATTCTGCTCTATTAAGGACCATATACTGAGTTAAATTAAATAAACTCATGTCCTTCTTTACTGCAGTATCACATGTCAATCTATGTCTTCCCTTCCCCTTTGCACTTCTAACCATGATTCTATCTTAGTTCCTCATCGTTGCCTCTACTGATCTTCCTTGTCCATGATCAAACCATCTTAATATGTTCTCTCTCAACCTATCTTTAATCAGTGCTACTCCTACCATTTCATGAATGTTTTCATTTTTAATTTTATCTTTCCTAGTCTTACCACCCATCCACCTCAACATCCTTATCTCAGCTACACTCATTTTACTAATTCATGATACATCATTTCAAAATATGCCTGGTGTGCTCATTCATAACCAATGCAAAATTACGCACTCTGTTCAGATCCTTGATGCAGGCATATTATATTGGAATTTCGCTTGGTTTCCCACTCTCATCCTCAAAATATATCACCTATTTTTATGCTTTTTTACTGTGTCAGGCACAACATTTAGCTACTTAAATACTTTCTTAGGCATCAACACTACTTCATTTTGATGTTGTGTCTTGAATCTTTCTTAATTTCACAAGGCTTATGGAGTAAGGACAGTTTTGTGTTTGTTCTTTTGACATAGGACAGTTTTGTGTTTGTTCTTTTGACATAAGCAGCCTTTTCAGAACACTTTTTAAAAAATTGAATCATATTTTTGATGATCTCTTTAGTATAGATGAAGGGGCTGCTAATGCTGTTCATATTCCTTGGTTTCTGACTAACATATTTTTATTTTTCTTTCACGTTTTAATTACTTTCAACTGCAGTTCTCAAGTAATGTTCAAACAAATATATTTTTTTTCTAAAGTTTAGAGACATTGACTATTTTGAACGATATTGATGCATCCAAAACATGTGAAAACTGTAGTGTTTGTATACATATGAAAACCTGAATAAGAATTTCACTTTTTATATCTTAATCATATTGTTCTCTGGTTATGTTTTACAGCTTCTCTTGATGCCAGTTTTGGATGGAAAAGCAATTTTGTACTCATTTTTCTCCACTCCTGAGGTGAGAATAGGTGTTGCATTTGGCAGCGGTGAAAGTCAATCTCTACCTGCAACAGAACTGCCAGGTGTTTCCTCGTGGCTGGTATGTTTCTGAACCAATAATTTTTTGATCAGCAATGTTTCTGAAACAATAAGATTTGAAAGCTTGTGAAAGAAACTAATATACTCTACACGAGTGCCACAATTTTCCTAGTGTTCTCTTCTGATGCATTACATTTATTCTCTTTCACTGAATTACGTATCTTCTTAGTTTTGGCGTACGCACTCTAATATTTACATAGATTGGCAGCATTTTGTATCACAAAAGATATTTTTCCAAAAGTTGGTTTCCAAAAAATGTCTGCTCATTTTTTGGAGCATACAAAAGTTGATTTTTCAAAACAAAACAAATCATATTATATTTCATTTTGGAAAGGAAACTTGCTGCTAATATGCTTTGTTTGGTTGCTGAGAGGTGGTAATAGAAGATATGAAAAGACTAGGGAGTGGTTAAACAACATGGTTTTGGAGGTGGTTGTTGCTAGATGAAGAGTTCCTTTCATTTTTCGATCTAGTTTTTCTGGCTACCAAACTTTATTGTATTGCCAATTTTGTATGCCCTTAGTTCATCTCATCTTATGAGTTCCTCAAAAAATGGAATGTTGTAACTGACACACCTAATTTACAAACTCAATAGTTGTCCTAATTTGATTTTGACTTTGGAGACGGAGTTGTTGAATCCATATACATTGTTGAGCCCATTCCCTAATAGCTTAAACTTTTGGGACAATTAATGACTTAACGTGGTATCAGAGCTAAAGCTGGAGGAGTTCAAAACTCTCGGTTAGCATTTGGTTCCCATTTGCATCTTTCTTCTCTCTATGTATGGATGTTTGCATCCCCATGTGCAAGGTGGGTTGCATGTGAGAGAGGATGTTGAATAGCTTGATATACATTGTTGGGTGCATTTCCTAACAGCTTAAGCTTTTGGGACAATTGGTGACTTAACAGGAGCCACGCATTTTGCCACTCTTGAAGTTTCCACATGATAAATCTTGATTTCTTTCTTTGAAGAGCTAATTTTTAAAATTAAATTACGAATGCATCTTCTTCTTCTTCTTCTTCTTCTCCTTGCAGGTTAAACTTTTCACTGACACATTAGCTAAGACGATGGTTGATCCTCGCCGTCGGTGTCTCTCCCTGCCATCCATAGACTTCAGGAAAAAGGCTGTTGGTGGCATAATCCATGTGACTGTCATTTCAGCAAGCAAACTTTCCAGGAATAACTTCAAGGGAAGCCTTTCTCGAAAGCAACATAGTTTTACAATGGATGGTAGCTTAGAAGAGTGCCATGAAAATAAAGATCTTCGGACATTTGTGGAGGTTGAACTTGGAGAACTAACCAGGAAAACAAATGTTAGACCTGGATCAAGCCCTAAATGGGACTCAACATTCAATATGGTTTTACATGAAGATACAGGAATTCTCAAATTCCAACTTTATGAGTGTACTCCTGGGAGTATGAAGTATGACTATCTAGCAAGCTGCGAAATTAAGGTACTGCCATGTATGTATGGTCCCAACTTTCTTCAATTTAACACCGTGGCTTTAGACATGTCATCATATGGCTTCAGACAGTTGTATCAAGTATTAATGATAAATAAAGGCACAGTAAATGTGTGTGCAAAATTGTGGTTTCATTAACGCAATAAAACAGTAAATACTAGAACACACACAGAAACAAGAAGACAAGATATATGTGGTTCAGAAGGGTGTGCCTACGTCCATGGCGTAGAGAGAACAAATCCACTGTACTCAATAAGGATTACAAAAAACTCTCAACCTCTTAGCACAACTCTCTATTCTGTAACACTCTGTGAAAACCTATCCCAAAAATTACAATATATAACCACCTACCTGATCTTCGGGCTAGGGACCTCAAAGGGTTTGTGTCAATCTCCATTGGGCCTTTTACTCCGGCCTCAACCCTCACGATACTCTTGAATGCACAGTAAATACAATACATGGACAACAAAATTTTTTTATTTTATTTTATTTTATTTTTGTACTGTGTAGTTTCATGTACAAACCATAGAAACAAGTGCCAAATGTTTCATTGAATGGAATTGGAATGATAGATAATATCTCATTGTGTAATGTCTTCCACTTCAGTTTTATTTTGAAGCAAGCAATGTCAAGAAGTGAAGCATACCATGTGGTTGAACATGCAACATGAACATTACAATGCATGAGATGTCCATCTGAATGTGAGAACACTGTTCTCCGTTTTCTGTGTTTTCCGTTTTCCGTTTTCCTTTTCCTTTTCCTTTTCCTTTTCCTTTTCTTTTTAGAATTAGGAATTAGTGTTAGTGTTCTATATCTAATAGAAAACTATATCAGTGATGTATTTGTTTAGGATTAGGATTTAGTATTCTATATAAGTGAGTGATGTATGCATTCTTTGTTCAATTAAAATCTAATATACAGTTTTGTTTAGAAATCTTACATGGTATCAGAGCTAGGTTCGAAACCCTAGCTGCTTCGCTTGTCGCCATCGTGGTTCGCTGGTCAAAGGGTCATCGATCTTGAACCCTCCGCGGTTCTTTTGGTTCGTGATCAGCCCTAAGTGGTGACATTCCGGTTTGTCTGGGTCATCACCATCAGTCCTCTCTTGTTCGACTGGTTTGTCACCATCGGAGTCGCGACTTGTCTCTCTCTAGACTCACGAAGGTTCGAAACCCTAGCCCTCTCTGGTTCGTCTCGCGAAGGCCTCTCTCTTCCTCGCGATCTCTGTCTGATTCGATCGCAGCCATCCACTTCGGCGCTCTGGTTCGTCTGCCTCTCTTTTCCTCACGAGCTGTGTCTGATTTGTTTCTCAGCCTCAGTCTCTCTCTCTGTGTCTTCAACTTGGCTATTTCTATTTAAAACCCTATTTCAGGATTATGGCACTAAAGCCCCATATTTGTCTGTTTATTACAAATTTTGTTTTATTACAATGTCGGATACTAAAATCCAAGCCATCAAATGTAAACTCACTGGTGGCAATTATGTCTATTGGGCCAGTGTCATGAAGAATTTTCTTCTTGGTCAAAAAAAATGGGGCTATGTTTTTGGTTCTATTCCTCGTTCATCGGACCCGAAGACGGAAGGGTATCTGTCTTCCTATGACCCTTGGGATTGTGATAATGCCCAAGTTCTAACCTGGTTTCATAATTCTATGGATGACCGTATTGGAATGATGTTTTCCAAGTACAGTACTGCCAAGGAAGTGTGGGATTATTTACTCGGTGTTTATCAACAGTCCAACTTTGCCAAGCGGTATGAGTTGGAAACAACTATTCAGAGTGCTCGTCAGCGGGATCAGACTATTCAGGACTTTTATATTGAGATGACAGGTCTCTGGGATCAGTTGGCTCTTATGGAACCACCTAGTTTCAAGATACTAGACGCTTATATTGAGTTTCGGGAGCAGAGTCGTTTAGTCCAGTTCTTAACAGCTCTTTCCCCTCAGTATGAGGCTATTCGAGGTGGCATCCTTCACCGATCTCCTCTTCCCTCTATGGATGCTATTGTTCGTGAACTCCTCTCCAAGGAAACCCGTCTTAAGACGGCCAGTCAGACTTTGTCTCCTTCTGTGTTCTTGGCTCCTACCAAGCCGCCCTTGTTATCGACCCCTCCTCCTCATCAGCTTCAGGCCATTGCGAAACCCAAGAGAGAACCATTAAGGCCATATGAGTGTGCTTTCTGCCATCAGAGGGGTCATTGGAAGAACAATTGTCCCAAAAAGGGATGTCAGCCTGCTCCGTCTTCTCAGACACAGTTCCACGGTCCTACTTCGGGTACTTTCCGACCTCCTGCTGCTTACACTGCATCTACTCCGGCTCCCGATCCTGACTTGGCTTCCCTGAGTGCTCAGGTTGTACAATTTCAGCATATCTTGTCCACCTCTCAGTTATCCCCATTCGCCTCCGCTCTTACCTCTCTCATCCAGGTTTGCTTGGGTCCTCTTCAGGTTTCCCTTCTTCTGTCTGGATTTTTGATTCTGGTGCCTCTCATCATATGATTCCTCACATTTCCTTACTTCAAAATTGTATTCCCCCACCCGTTCCTATTACTATTAATACTGCTAATGGATCTGGTATGTCTGTTCTGTCTGTTGGGTCTGTCTTACCCTCTGCCATGTCTACTGTTACTATTCCTTCTGTTTTTTATGTTCCTCAGTTATCTGTCAGTTTATTATCTATCAGTCAACTTGATGCGTCTGGTTTTGATAATATGTTTTCCTCTTCTGTCTGTTGTCGGCAGGATCGGATGTCCAAGAAGCAGATTGGGACCGGCCGTAGAATTGGAGACCTCTATGTGGTCGAAAGCTTGCATCTCCCTTTATCCATCTCTCTAGCTGCACTTTCCTCATTTCAGTTAGATTCTCAGTTGAGTCAGTTTTACTTGTTGGATAAAGGTTCTCCTAGTCAAATTGATGAATGCCGGGGGTGTAAACTTGCTAAAATGTCAGCCTTACCATTTAATAAAAGTACCTCTATTTCTTGGTCTCCTTTTTCTCTTGTACATACTAATGTCTGGAGACCCTCTCATGTTCTTACTAAAGGGGGCTCTATATATTATGTGTCTTTTATTTATGACTGCACCTGTTACACTTGGGTTTATCTTATGACTCATAAATTTGACTTCTACCAGATATATCGTACCTTCCAGTCTATGGTCACTACACAATTTGGGTCTACTATTAAATTGTTGCGGTCTAACTTAGGGAGGGAATACTTTAAAACTGAATTCTGTGAATACTTGACCAAATTGGGTACTATTCACCAAACTTCTTGTACTGATACACCTGCCCAAAATGGTCAAGCTGAGCGTAAACACCGTTATCTCCTTGAGACGGCTAGGTCTCTCCTTTTCTCTGCCTCTGTTCCGGTTCCGTTTTGGGGTGAGTCAGTTATTATTGCTGCTTTTCTTCTCAACCGTATGCCTACCCCTCTTCTTTCTAGTCGGTCTCTTTATGAGGCTCTATTTTCTCAACTTCCTAATTACTTCCTTTTTCATGTGTTTGGGTCTGGTTGTTTTGTCCTTTTACCCCGTAAAGATAGGACCAAACTTAGTGCCCGGTCTGTCCTATGTGTTTTTTTGGGATATAGTCTCACTCAGAAAGGTTATCGCTATTATGACCCTCTTTCTCGTCGGCTTTTTGTCTCCCGCCATGTTGCCTTTCTCGAACGTCTATCTTACTTTTAGTTTCCTCCTCTCACCACCCCTGTTTCCAAAGAGGATTTGGTTCATATTGATCCATTTCCTTCTGAGTTCCCGTCTGATGAGTACATCTTCACAGTTACTCCTGAGCTTATTCCATCTTCTCCTCCTGCATCACCTCTGGCTGCTTCTCCTCCTTCGGCCTCTTCTCCTTCTCCGTTGTTAGTTTATTCTCGTCGCAAGGCTTCTCCTCCACCAGTTGTCCCTGCCCCTACTGCTAATCCTCCTGCTTCTGACGACTCTGATCCTGCTACACACCAATATCCTCCTCGAGCGGGTCATCCTCCAAACAGGTTAGGTTGGTCTAATACTTGTTTTTCTGCTTCCTATCGTACCTGTTTGTTTGCTATTCACTCTTTGTAGAACCTCAGTCTTACAAGGAAACCTGTCAGGATCCTCATTGGGTTCAAGCTATGGAGGACGAGTTGTTTGCTTTACAGAAAACTAGTACATGGGAGTTGGTTCCTTAGCTTGCTGGTAAGAATCTGGTTGGTTGCAAATGGGTCTACAAAGTCAAGACTCATTCTGATGGTTCTCTTGAGCGCTACAAAGCTCATCTGGTTGCCAAAGGTTTCTCCCAGGAATATGGTATTGATTATGAGGAGGTGTTTGCTCATGTTGCCAAGATGACTACTGTCCGTACTTTAATCTTTGCCGCTGCTATTCGTTCTTGGCCTCTTTATCAGATGGATGTTAAGAATGCTTTTCTTAATGGCCATCTCACTGAGGAGGTTTACATCCGTCCTCCCCCTGGTCTTCACCATTCCTCTGGCCAAGTTTGTCGTCTTTGGCGTGCTCTGTATGGTCTGAAGCAGTCTCCTCGTGCTTGGTATGATCGCTTTCAGACTGCTGTTACCAAGCTTGGATTTCATCCTTCTTCTTCCGACTCTGCTTTATATGTGGATGATATGATCATCACTGGCTCTGACTCTGCTGTTATCTCTGAGGTCAAGCAACATCTTTTCCGCACCTTCGAAATGAAGGATCTGGGACCATTGCGGTATTTTCTTGGTATTGAAGTGGCTTCTTTTCCCAAGGGTTACTTTCTATCCCAAGCTAAGTATGCCAACGAGGTTATCCATCGTGTTAGACTTACTGACACTAAGCTTTCTGATACCCCCATTGAGCTCAATGTAAAGCTTAACACTACTGATGGTGTTCCTTTGGACGATCCTACGTTATATCGTGAACTTGTGGGTTGTTTAGTCTATCTGACAGTTACTCGCCCTGATCTTGCCTATTCTGTCCATGTGGTTAGTCAGTTTGTTTCTGCTTCTGGCTCTACACATTGGGCTGCTTTGCTTCGAATTCTTCGCTATCTTCGCAGTACTATTTTACAGGGCTTGTTATTCTCTTCTACTTCTTCGTTGGATTTAGTGGCCTATGTTGATGCTGATTGGGCTGATGATGTTAATGATCGTAAATCTACTTCTGGTTTCTGTATGTTTCTTGGTGATTCCCTGATTTCTTGGAAAAGGAAGAAACAAACTGTTGTTGCCCGTTCTACTGCCGAAGCTGAGTATCGTGCTATGGTTCATGCTACTGCTGAAATTGTCTGGCTTCGTGGTCTTTTATCTGACTTGGGTGCCCCTCAGTTTTCCCCGACCTCTCTCTAATGTGACAACCGACGTGCTATTCAAATTGCTCATAACACTGTCTTTCATGAACGGACAAAGCATATTGAGATTGATTGTCATTTCATTCGTCAGCATCTACAGTCTGGCGTTATCTCGTTTCCTTTTGTTTCTTCAACTCTGCAACTTGCTGATTTCTTCACCAAGACTCACACCACTGCTCCGTTTCAGTTTTTTCTTGACAAACTCTTAGTATTTTCTGCTAAAACACCTTGAGTTTGAGTAGAGGTGTGAGAACACTATTCTCCGTTTTCTCCGTTTTCCGTTTTTCTTTTCCTTTTAGGATTAGGAATTAGTGTTAGTGTTTTATATCTAATAGAACACTATATCAATGATGTATTTGTTTAGGTTTAGGATTTAGTATTCTATATAAGTGAGTGATGTATGTATTCTTTGTTCAATTAAAATCTAATATACAGTTTTGTTTAGAAATCTTACACCGAAAACCTTCAACTGTTTACATTTATTGTTTCTTTTCTTTCCTTGTAGATGTTACTGTATCCTTTTCAACAATTGTTGATATGTATTATTTTGTTCAATGAGCAGGTGAAATATGTCGCAGATGATTCCACAATGTTTTGGGCAATAGGACCTGAATCTAGTGTGATAACAAAGCACGCTGAATTTTGTGGAAAAGAAGTTGAGATGGTTGTTCCCTTTGAGGGTGCTAATTCCGGAAATGTAAGAGCTACTGTTACCTTACTTATGAAAGACAGGTTTTGGATTATAGTTGTCACCATTTGTACTATAAATCAACAATGAATCTTTTTTCTTCTGATTACAAGATTTAATGGCTATTGTATCAAATGTTAGTTAATATTCTGGCCTCTTTGTCACAATTCTGATTATATATTTGTTCTTATGTCCCTACCAACATTTGACTAGAATTTGGTTATTGAAAGTTGAATGTGTACCAAATTTGAAATTTTTTTGAATCCCATTTTATTTAACATCGAAATAAATAGATGTTAGAATAGTCTCATGTAGTTTTAACTTCTAAAAGGTGCAACTGTTTAACTGATTTTTTTTTTTTTGGGTGTGGTTGAAATGAATTTTTGCAGTTGACTGTGAAACTAGTCTTGAAAGAATGGCAGTTTTCAGATGGTTCACATAGCTTGAACAGTATCAATCTCAGCTCTCAGCAATCACTATATGGGTCATCAAATTTTCTGTCAAGAACTGGAAGGAAAATATGTATAACTGTTGTTGAAGGGAAGAACCTTATGGTCAAAGACAAATTTGGGAAATCTGACCCATATGTTAAACTGCAGTATGGGAAGGTAAATCTCTCTTTTTTCTTCATAAATAAGTATTATACATACTTTTAAGCTTTTGGTCTATCTCTTTTTTTACGATGCCCATTGTGAATATGTCAAGTAATGTCTAATAATGCTGGAACCTTCTCTTCAGGTCCTCCAGAGAACAAGGGCCGTCCAACATACTTTGAATCCATTCTGGAATCAGAAGTTTGAATTTGATGAGATAGGAGGTGGTGAATATCTTAAGATAAAATGCTACAACGAAGAAACCTTTGGAGATGAAAATATTGGTAGCGCACGAGTAAATTTAGAAGGACTCGTAGAGGGGTCAATGAGGGATGTGTGGGTTCCTCTTGAAAAGGTAAATTCCGGGGAACTGCGACTTCAAATAGAAGCAGTGAGATTTGAAGATTATGAAGGATCCCGGGTATGCTTGTATTAGCACTTAATCATGTTGGCAGTAATTGAATATAAAGTCCAAAGTAGTGGAAGGCAAAAAATCAGGACATGACATGGAAGGGGCACAACAACAAATATATAGATATATATATATATGAATGGAAATAATAACAATTTCTTCATTTTTACATTATGAATACATTTGTATTTTTATGCATCAAAATAGGAAGAAATTATTATTCAAGTTCTATATTGGAAAGGAAGTGTGAACAAGAAGTCCTAATTTCTATTTTAGAAATCACTATTCATTAACAAATTTAAAGTTTTATGTTTTAAAATTTATACAATTATAAAGCGTAAATCTACATTGTTTTGATTTTAACCATTGGCTCCAAAGTTCTTTCCTTCAAACTTGTAATGTGTTTCATGTGTGTTTAAGTGATGTACAAGTGTCCACAAATGTCTAAAGTGTGTCCGACTCGAAAAAATTGAAAATATAGGTCACTTTTCGATGTGTGCCCAACACTTGTAGAGTGTCGCAGGGAGTGCCTAGGAATGTCAGTGACAACATGCACGCAATTCCATGCTTCTGAGTTCACACATTGCGTATAGGGTCCAAATGATTTCAAGACTGCTATCGTTTTGAAACTATACTACCAATAAAGGCTGTGTTTTGGTTCTTTAGTAAGGTAAGAACCTCAACAGGTCTTCATTTGGTGCCTTTCGGACCAAGCCAAGCTGGATTGGTAGTGTAATAAGCACTTTTTGCTAAATAGTTGTCTGAGCCATGCTCAATTAGAGCTTGCCATCAAGCTTAAGAGTGTGCACTTTAATTTACTTTTCTTTGTTTGTTCAGGGTTCTAGCATTGGGTCAAGCAGTGGGTTGATTGAACTTGTTCTCATTGAAGCAAAAGACCTGGTTGCTGCCGATCTCAGAGGAACAAGTGATCCATATGTGAGGGTAAATTATGGAAATACGAAGAGAAAAACAAAGGTTAGTGACATGGCAATTCTTCATATATAATACTATTTTTACAGGAAAGAAATTCTTTTCAGAGCCCATACGGTTTATCATTGGCCATATTTCCATGTTCACATTTCTCATATGGTGGTGTGATAGACAATGCCCATATTAGATTCAACTTTCACATATCCATGCTATTCTACATTTTTTTAAGCTTTCAATCGATTCTTGCCAGTCACCACATTGCTTAATTTGGAGGCATGTATACAATTTCTTTAATCAGTTTGCCTTGCTTTTCCTTGCCTTGAAGATTATGTATAAAACTCTGAATCCTCAGTGGCATCAAACCTTCGAATTCCCCGATGATGGTAGTCCCTTGGTGTTGCATGTGAAAGACCACAATGCTTTGTTGCCAACATCAAGCATCGGTGATTGCGTCGTAGAATATCAGAGATTGCCTCCAAACCAGACATCCGACAAGTGGATACCCCTTCAAGGAGTAAAAAGGGGAGAGATCCATATTCAAATTACAAGAAAAGTTCCAGAATTTGAGAAGAGACCAAGTTTGGACTCTGAATCACCCTCAACTAAAGCACACCGAATCTCTAGCCAGGTGAGAATGTTTGAGGATCTATTATACATCCTTTCATGTATGGATTAGTGCCACATCTCATGAGTGCAAATTGAGAAGTTCTAAATTTTTCCATAACATTTCAAAATAATTCGTGAAATAGGCCAAAGCGACCATTTGCTAGTTAATCTACTATATCCATGATACAAGGTAGACCAACTTTTTTGGCATAAATAGTGAAGACTACGTTATGAATTGATACACATAATCAGGGACAATGAGACACGAAACACAAACAAGAATAACATAAGAATCTAAATCATGCACACGAGAACAAAAATATTTATGTGGTTCATCTCAAAATAGGGTTACGTCCATGATCGTTGTGGTTTCATTATCTGAAAAAAGTTAAAATACAGTTTGAAAAGATGCATCACTTCAACTATATATACATTGTATTAGAGCAACATAACAGAACTGTGAAACACCAAAAATACCATTACTCTGAAAGTTGGATCTGTGGTCGAGTTTTTAGTGTTCAATACTTTATGGGATTCACACCACCCCAACAGACTGCATTTTACAGACTTACTGCTTTTGTGTTTCTCCATGCTTCATGATATATTTATCACAAAAATGTGTTCCTTTTGTTAGCCAGTCTGGAGGCTAGTTTCTACTAAATGCTTTTTTTTTACAAATTCTGATCAATTTGGGTTGATTTAACAGATGAAACAAATGATGATCAAGTTTCAATCCATAATCGAGGATGCGAATGTTGACGGACTCTCTGCATCCTTGAGTGAGCTAGAAAGCCTCCATGATATGCAAGAAGAGTACATGGTCCAGTTGGAGACTGAGCAGACGCTTTTACTGAACAAGATAAACGAGCTTGGCCAGGAAATCATAAACTCGTCGCCCACCCAGAGCAGAAGATCTACCAGCAACTGAACCGGTGAAAATGAATTTCCGCCACAATGCCCTTTCTTTACTTGCACAAAAGGCGGTGTTAATAGAAAGCGAATACAAATTGAGAGGCACTGTTGTGGTTTGTCTTGCTGTGCAAATTTAATAATGTATGCAGATAAAAGGTTGTACCAATATGTACAATAGGATATGGGAGAGGTGAGAGGCATATTTCTCCTATTTGTTTATCATTATTAATAATTTTTTGTGTGTACAAGTGGAGGCCGATTCTCGTGATTCAAAACTGTGCCACAAGGATTGGGTTTTAGAAATGAAATATATATATATATATATATATTTGTGCAATACGTAATACAACAGATAAATTTCCATTTCGATAATAAAATGATTATGTTGTGTAACATTCCATACTCAATATGTAACATTGTGTTCTCTTGGAACATTTGGTGTTGGACATTCCGATGAATTTAGGCAATTTTATCAATTTAAACCAAGTTTCTACTAGTGCTACATGTTTGATGCCAAAATTAGGGTGGTTGATAAATTGTTTGTGAAAGAGGGTTAAAAATACAATTGGTCCCTTGAAAAATTAATTGAAACAAATTACTAAAATGTGTAGTTGGCCCCTTATATAGTTAAATTGGAGCAAATTATCCTTCGTACTTAAATCAATTGTTGCAATTCATATGATCTAATTGTATTTTTTTATATTTTCCCGTGACAAATTGTATATCTAAACATTTTTTCTAAACCAATTGAATTTTTTTTCATTTTTCGGCATGTAACTCACTCAAATTGATATTACACGTTGACAATTGCATTTTAAAACATCTTTGATGTGTTAATTTGGACAAATTAATCCTTCTTGAAGTGAATTGCACTTTTAAATATATTTTAAGTAAATTGTCAAAAACCCTCCTTATCAAATTCCACTTTAATTTCTTCTATTTCAAGCAATGAAAATCCTTTTTAAAAATAGAAAATATATATTTACATAGATATGTTCATATGATATTTTTTGAGGAAAATTCTATAGGGTGTGTATTATATGTATTATTTAGTTACGATTTTTTTAGTATTTGATTATGATTTATAGGGGTGTTAGTTATGACTTATTGGATGTTAGTTATTATATTATTTTGATCATGATTTAAGAATTTTTTGATTATCATCTATTATTTTGGTTATGATATCTTTTATACCCATTTATTTTTTTCTTACAATCACATATATAATTTTTTTTGGCGCTCAATAGGTCTAAACTTAATAATTTTTTTGCCAAAAAGATATTAGAGTGTCTTGAGAAGATGGTTAAAAGTTGGCTCTCTCTCTCTCTACCAATGTAAACATTTACATTGCCCTATAACTGTTGTTGTTTTCGGAATTGATTTTGCAAACATAGATGATGTGAACATTCACATTACTGTTCATTACTGGATAAACTTACATTAGTAGACACTGATGTGAACATTCACATCAGTGTATAATGATGTGAATGTTCACATTACTGTCATTTTTGATATTGTTGATTGTTGATGTCCATAGAACCCCCAATCTTCACTCAACAATGTGATGTTTTGGCGCTCAATAGGTCTAAACTTAATAATTTTTTTGCCAAAAAGATATTAGAGTGTCTTGAGAAGATGGTTAAAAGTTGGCTCTCTCTCTCTCTTCGCGATTGTGGCAGATCTCTCTCTCCGGCGTGTCTGTGATCGATCTGAAACCCTTCCATGTTGTCACAATCTCCCTTCCGCCGTCGCAATCTCAAACTCTAGCGCCACGTCGCCACTGTGCCTTCATCCCCCATCCCTCATTGCGATTGATGGAAAAGTGATCTCGGTAAAGCTCTCTTTCAGGTGAACCAAAGCTTGGTAAAGATCTCGGTAAACCCTAGCGCCACGTCGCCGCTGTGCTTTTGCTGGATTATCGAGAGAAGGGGCTGCCGAAGAAGAATAATAATTTTTTTATTAAGTGCTTTTGCTGGATTACCGAGAAGAAAGGGTTGCCGAAGAAGAATAATAATTTTTTTATTAATAATAATAATAATAAATTTTATATTAATTAATACTAAAAATTGTTTTTTTATTAAGCCATTAATGAAATAAATTTTATATTAATTTATACTAATTAATAATTTTAGTATTAATTGATACTAATTAAGCCATTAATTGATAATAAATTAAATTATAAAATATTAATAAATTGGTATATTTTGTAACAATTTTGTAATAAAAAATTAAAAAAATATTAATTGCTATTTGTAACAATTTTTAATAAATTAAAAAAATATCAATTAATATTCATGTATTTATAAACTAAAATGAATATAATTTGAAACTAATTAAGCCATTACATTTTAGTATTAATTGAGACTAATTAAGACATTACATTTTTATCAAATGTATCAATTTTTATATAAATTGATACTAATTAATACTAATTATGTTAATTAAAAAAAAATGACAAAATTATCATTTTTATATCATATAAGGGCAAAAAGGACAATTATACAAAAAATTTCTATTTTACAGCTTATCTACCAAACACTACTCTGCTGCTTAAATCCATAATCTCAGGGAAGAAAAACTGGTGATAGACACAAAATTGTCTATTCTGGTTCCCATCCCCCCGTCACCACGACCTTCCGCCAGAGCTAGGATTTACAATATTTTTTTAATTAAAAAATAATAATAATAACAATAACAATAAAGCATTTTAAGTGATTAATGAAATAGATTTTAAAAAAAATATTAATTGATATTTGTAACAGTTTTTAATAAATTAAAAAAATATCAATTAACTCACTTCTAATTTGGAAAAATAAATTAAAAATATTAATTAGTATTTGTAACAATTTTTAATTTTTAATAATTTAAAAAATATCAATTAATTGGTATTCAGCATTTTTCAAAATTTTCTCATGATCAATCTCACTATACATGCATCACTTCTAATTTGAAAAAATAAACTATAAACTAAAGAAAATAAAATAGAATGAAGAAAAAGAAAAAAAAATTAAGAGAAGAAAAGAAAAAAAAGAAAAAAAAATATTAATATTAATTGATACTAATTAATAATTTTAGTATTAATTGATACTAATTAATTTATAATGGAAAAAAATTGTTACAATAATACTTCCATTACATTTTTATCAAATGTGTCAATTTTTATATAAATTGAAACTAATTAATACTAATTATGTTAATTTTTATTAATGAAATAATTTTTTTAAATTAAAACTGAGAAAAAAAAATGACAAAATTATCATTTTTATATCATATAATGGCAAAAAGGACAATTATACAATAAAAAATTATTTTACAGTTTATCAATCAAACACTGTTCTGCTGCTTAAATCTATAAACCCATAGCTGCACCAAACAGATTAACAGCTTATGTTCACAGCTATAAATTACAATCTGTTAAGTTATAATTTATAATCACTTTCCAACAGCTCTAACCAAACGGGATTTTTAACCAAGCTTTTTGACTTTTTTGAAAAGTGATTTGAAAAGCTAGTAAAAAATTACTTTTTTGCCTTTTGGGTTAATATTTATTTATGATATCATGTCACAATAAAATGATCAAAATATCCCACCCAGCTTAGAAAATTTACTGTTTGACCCTTTTTGGCTCATTTAGCTACTTGTTGGAACAATGAGGGTAGTCATGTAATTTCACACTTGACGTTTTGCAAACTTTCCAAATACCGATCCAGCTTTTATAGCTACCTCAGGTGCGTTGGGATCCTCTAGAGTGAATTCCTAGAGTGATCTCCTACAGTGATCCATGGATAGCCGACACGTGTTGCACTCATCTACCAATGGCTGAGATTCAGCCTGAGTAATTTTGAAAAAAAAATTCAAAATTCAAATTTTTGGGTTTCAGAGAGAGAGAAAGAGAAAGGCTGAGAGAATAAGAGAAAAGGATCCCCGCTCCCGCTCTCGCCCCCGACGTGCCGCCACTGATGCCCTGCCCCCCATACTCCAAAGAATCATGATCTTTCCTCTCCTCTTCTTCATTCTCTCTTCAGTCTTCTTTCTCTTTTTGATAGATATGAGAGAGCTGACTCAATAATACGCTTGATTTGATCCACATAACAAGGTTTCTTGATGGATGGATCGATTTTGTATTGTTGGACTTTGTGTTGTTTAATTGGGACAGAGTTTTGAGGTCTGATAGGCTTCTGTCCAAAGATTGATAAAGATGACTAAGAGGTTTTCTTCTCATATATATATATATCCTAGATCTGCGCACAAACAAAACATAGGATTTTTGTGGCCCTCAAGGTTGGTTTTCTTAGATCTGGGCTAAAAGAGGCATGATTTATTTACAAACATCTTTTGATCCTTTGGTATTTGAACAAATCTCCTCCAAAAAGGAATTTATTGTAGTTATTTTTCTAGGTTTTCCTTGTTTTTTATAAAATTTTGATTTGTTCTTTGGTTTTGGTTAAGAAACAAGTTGATTAACAAATCTCCCCAAAAAAGAAATTTATTGTAGTTATTTTTCTGGTTTTCCTTGTTTTTTATAAAATTTTGATTTGTTCTTTGGTTTTGGTTAAGAAACAGGTTGATTTTCTTGTTGTTTTAGGTTCTTTGTAAATTTTGGGTTGATTTTAGGTTTGATCTTCTTCTTTGTTTTAGGTTGATTTTCTCACCATTTTAGTCAGATTCAGAGAAGAAGAAGAAAAGAAGGGAAGGGAAGGGAATGGATGAAACGACGTCGTTTTGGGAGGGATTGATCTTAACCCTTGGTTTGATTAATGGAACAGGTATCGCGCTCTCATAAATTCACTCTACCAGATCACTCTAGGAATTCACTCTGGAGGATCCCAACACACCTCGAGCTGCGTTTTTTGCAGAAAAAATGCAACTTTTATTTATATTGCCGAAAGACTACATTGTTTGTCAAAAAATATACTTATTCCAAACTTATCTGTGTTCAAATGTCTGTACATATATCACATATATATTTATTTATTTGTTAATATCACATATACTTTTACTTACCTGTTCAATATTATTTATTTGCTCACTTTATTGTCATGAGTTACAGTTATTAACCACCTTTATCAAAGACTTTTTAACTCATATCCTTATTATCTCAAAAAAATAAATAAAACCTTCAATCAAATAATATGTGATCCAATAGGACTTTTTATCGATTATTTTTTTTTTCTTTCATAAAATATAAAATTTTATAATACATATAATAATATATAGAAAAAATCAAATAAAATGTATATATAATAAAAAGGGAGCTTTTTTAATAAGTCCATTCTCTAAGAATCCTATTCCATAAACCCCATAGTGTTTTCTACTATTCCATCAGGTCCTATTTTATATTAAAAGACCAAAACACCCTTCTCCTCTTCCCCTCTCTTTTTTTGCAGAAAATCACACACAATATCTCCACCCTTCCGAAAACCCAAAATCGTATTCCATATCGTCTCACACCCATACGCATCTCATTGTTCCATCGTCGAAACGTCTCATCGTCGGCTTCGTCATACCTCTACCATCTGTCTACGAAAACGTGGAAATCACCATTGGTGAACATCTTGGAGTTCCATCTTCGTCAAAATCACCATTGATGACCATTTGTGACAACCCAACCATCAATATGGAAAAAAAGTAAGTAATCTCACCAATCTTGTACGTAAACCCTAAATATCTTGTTCAAATTTCACCATTGTGAACTTCCAATATCTCCTGTTTCTATTCATACAATGTATGGAACTTCATATTTTTACTGTTCATGCCCTAATTGTTAATGTGAACCCCTCAATCCCAATCTCCAAGTATATGGTTTTGTTTACCCAAAAATAATGCAGTGGCAATTACGTTGTGTTGTCAAAAGCTGTGAACATTTACATGGGAATGAAAAATGTTGGGCCAAGACAATTATTTCAGATGTTGTTGTTGTTGTTGTATGTTTTAATCATGTGAATCTCCTATACCCATTTCATCAATATGAACTACTACAGTAGTGAGCTTCATAGTATATGATCTTATTCATTCAATGTGTGAACTTCATATTATATCTGTTATTGCAAACATAGATGATGTGAACATTCACATTACTGTTCATTACTAGATAAACTTACATTAGTAGACACTGATGTAAACATTCACATCAGTGATGTGAATGTTCACATTACTGTCACTTTTGATATTGTTGATTGTTGATGTCCATAGAATCCCCAATCTTCACTCAACAATGTGATGGAATATGATATAAACATTCGCATTGTAACATCAATGTCAAACTTGTTGGTGTTGTTGGGTGTTGTTTGGTGCTGTTGGTTCCACCCTTTATTTTTCAGCCAATTATAACATAATGTGATCACCAATGTAAACATTTACATTGCCCTATAACTGTTGTTGTTTTCGGAATTGATTTTGTAAACATAGATGATGTGAACATTCACATTACTGTTCATTACTAGATAAACTTACATTAGTAGACACTGATGTAAACATTCACATCAGTGTATAGTGATGTGAATGTTCACATTACTGTCACTTTTGATATTGTTGATTGTTGATGTCCATAGAATCCCCAATCTTCACTCAACAATGTGATGGAATATGATGTAAACATTTACATTGCGACATCAATGTCAAACTTGTTGGTGTTATTGGGTGTTGTTTGGTGCTGTTGGTTCCACCCTTTGTTTTTCAGCCAATTATAACATAATGTGATCACCCATGTAAACATTTATATTGCCTTATAAATGTTGTTGTTTTCGGAATTGATTTTGTAAACATAGATGATGTGAACATTCACATTACTGTTCATTACTGGATAAACTTACATTAGTAGACACTGATGTGAACATTCACATTAGTGTATAATGATGTGAATGTTCACATTACTGGGTTCTGATGATGGAAGGTTCTAAGTTAATTTTTTAAACTCTACCAATTTATCAATTTTGGGTCTCATACACTGGTGAGGTTCTTTACATGGTCATTGTACTTGATTCTTCCTGCATGGTTGGAGCTTGTTTGACCATTTACTTTCAAACTAACTTGAATCGTCTTCATATAAAGATCACCGCTCCCTTGTAATGTTAATATTGTGCTCACATCTTCTGTTTAATATTAACATCTTCAATATGTTATTTCAGTTGCTATTTGTCATTTCAACTATGTATGTAGCAATACTCACACACATAGAAAAGGCTGTTGCATTTTTTGCCTTCCTCTTGTTGTTGTTGTTGTTGTTGTCGTTTTTTTTTTTTTTTTCCTTCTTTGCAAAAAATGGTTTCTGGGTTTTTCAAATTATATTGTATTATAGTTTTGTGTTTTTCTAATATCATTGCTTCATTGAGCATCCTTGAGTCAGTTATAAATGCATATTTATTTGATTGATGACTTGATAGTTGGTTTTTTGCGGAGTTTTATTAAGTTCGTGCCCTTGTAAAATTTCATTTGTTGATTGCAGTATGCTGAGCGTTTACCAATTGGGTTAGAAAGGGTAATCCAGACAGTTTCTGCTGATACTGTGAAGCAATTTTATGGGAAGTGGTACCATTTACACAATATGGATGTGATAGCTGTTGGAGATTTTTCTGATACACAGGTTGGAATATGCTAACATTTAGATTTTCCTTTTATACAAAGAATTTTATTTGTTGTCGAACTTTTGTTGACTCTCTGTCTCTGTCTCTGTCTATGTCTGTCTGTCTCTCTCTCTCTCTCTCTCTCTCTCTCTCAGAGTGTAGTTGAGTTGCTAAGGACCCACTTTGGAGATAAAAGTTCATCACTAGATCCTCCACTTATACCTCTCTTTCTAGTTCCATCTCATGAAGAACCCCGTTTTTCATGTTTTGTTGAATCTGAAGTTGCTGGGGTTAGTAGCCATTGGACTTTTGGTTTACTCCTGAATACATCAACATGCAAGTGCATTACACTAGCACATGAAAATTTTAGTTTTAGAAATCTTACTTTTAATTTCTGCATAACAGTCTGCAGTGATGATCAGTTGTAAGATGCCTGCGGATGAGTTAAAAATTGTGAAGGACTACAAAAATTTACTTGCCGAGTCGATATTCTTTCATGCTTTAAATCAGAGGTTTTTTAAAATATCTCGTAGAAAGGATTCTGCATATTTTTCATGCTCTGTTGCTGCTGATGTCATAGCTCGTCCAATGAAAGCCTATATAATGACTTCATTTTGTAAAGAGAAAGGGACTATTATTGAGGCCCTAAAATCAATAGGTTTTCCTTGTTTTCTATAAAATTTTGATTTGTTCTTTGGTTTTGGTTAAGAAACAAGTTGATTAACAAATCTCTCCCAAAAAGAAATTTATTATAGTTATTTTTCTGAGTTTTCCTTGTTTTTTATAAAATTTTGATTTGTTCTTTGGTTTTGGTTAAGAAACAGGTTGATTTTCTTGTTGTTTTAGGTTTTTTGTAAATTTTTGGGTTGATTTTAGGTTTGATCTTCTTCTTTGTTTTAGGTTGATTTTCTCACCATTTTAGTCAGATTCAGAGAAGAAGAAAAAAAGAAGGGAAGGGATGGAACGACGTCGTTTTGGGAGGGATTGATCTCAACCCTTGGTTTGATTAGTGGGATAGGTGTCGCGCTCTCATAAATTCACTTTACCAGATCACTCTAGGAATTCACTCTAGAGGATCCCAACGCACCTCGGGCTGCGTTTTTGACAGAAAAAATGCAACTTTTATTTATATTGTCGAAGGACTACATTGTTGGTCAAAAAGGATACTTATTCCAAACTTATCTATGTTCAAATGTCTGCACATATATCACATATATATTTATTTATTTGTTAATGTCATATATATTTTTATTTATCTGTTCAATATCACTTATTTGCTCACTTTATTGTCATGAGTTACCGTTACTAACCACCTCTATCAAACCTGTATCAAAGACTTTTTAATTCATATCCTTATTATCTCAAAAAAATAAATAAAACCTTCAATCAAATAATATGTGATCCAATAGGACTTTTTGTCGATTAATTTTTTTTTTCTTTCATAAAATATAAAATTTTATAATACATATAATAATATATAGAAAAAATCAAATAAAATGTATATATAATAAAAAGGGAGCTTTTTGGTGGACTTATTGGGTTAAAACACCTCTAAATGGGATTTATCAATAAAAAACCCTAATAAAAACTCCCCACATTCACATTTCCGGCAAGAAGATATCCAATTCGTAAAATCTTATCGTCATCTCCTTCCGCCTTCCAACTGAAAATCTCTCTCTCTCTCTCTCTCCGTGTGTCTCTGTGCGATGAGGTTACAGAAGAAGGTGGAAGAAGAAGAAGAAGAAGACGACGACTTGCTATAAACTGGGTCGAGCTAAAACAACTACAACAACAATAACAATGGCCATATCCACCGCTAAATTAACTGAATTTCCACTTCGCACCACTACCTCACTCACCTCTCACTCCCTCTCCTCTCTCCACCTCCGCTTCCTTTTCTTCACTACCCGCAAACCCTCTTTCTCTCTCCTCAAACCCTTCTCTTCTCTCCGCACTCCCACCCAAAACCCCACACCCAACCAAAATCACTACCCTTGGGACCATCATAACCAAAACCCTACCCAAGACCCTACTGTCCCACCCAAACCCAAATCTTCTTCTTCCTCTTGGCTCAACAAATGGCCCTCTCCGAACCCCGCTCTCCAGTCCAATTCTAAGAATTCGAATCAGGCTGAGGATGCAGCTCAGAGTCGGTATTTTGATGGGAAGAGTGGCGCTGGGACTAGTGCCATTGAGAGAATTGTTCTTCGATTGAGAAATTTAGGGTTGGGTTCCGACGATGAGGAAGAGGAGGAAGAGGAGAATTGGGCAATGCGGTTGACTGGGGACGAGAAATTGGGGGATTTGTTGAGGAGAGATTGGGTGAGACCTGATAAGATTTTGGTTGAGGGCGAGGATGAGGATGAGTCAGTGTTGCCTTGGGAGAGGGTGGTGGAGGAGAGGATTGTGGTTGACGAACAAGTGAAGAAGAAGAGGGTGTTGAAAGCGCCCACTTTGGCGGAGTTGACGATGGAGGATGAGGAGTTGAGGAGGTTGAGGCGGCTCGGGATGACAATTAGGGAGAGGATCAGTGTCCCCAAGGCGGGGGTCACTGGGGCGGTCCTCGAAAAGATTCATGAGCAGTGGAGGAAATCAGAGTTGGTTAGGCTTAAATTCCATGAGTGCTTAGCTCATGATATGAAGACCGCACATGAGATTGTTGAGGTTTGTGGATGTCATGGTTCGTGTTTGAAATTATAGTACTATTTGCAGACATTGTGTTTATTTCTCATTAGGTTTATCTATTGGTGAATTGTGCTATTGGCTCTTTTGAATTTGTGTATTAGACCCAACTCTAACTTTTGTTTATTTGCTTGGTGGTGTAGTAAAGACTGACTGTAAAGCAAGTCAGTATTATTGATTGTCTTTAAAAATGAATTTTGTTATTTACTAGATGAATTGTGTCTTAATCTTAAGATTTATTCTGTTGATTTTGATGGCTGATGCCATGAAAAAACTCTTTTGTTCAACTATTCTGGGTTAAACTTGACGAAACCAGTTCTGGTTTACTGATGTTATTATATAGAGTGCAATCAGATATCTCTTCCTAACAGCTTGTGTTTGAATTCCATAACAGCTAGTTTTCCATTGCTGCTAGTTTCAAATGCTAGTCTAGTTAGAGTTTATTTATGGCAAATAACACAAACAACCCTTTGGTTTTTGACAAGTATGGGAACATCTTCTCAGTTTTCGAAATAATTATAATTTTACGCTTCAATTTTATTTATTTTCCAATTTGTTATTTTTTATTTGTTAGAGAGCCTTTTGAAATTAACTGCAGACTCATTGCTAACTGCCTGTTCTGATGGTCAGCGTCGAACTGGAGGATTGATTATATGGAGGTCTGGCAGTGTTATGGTGGTGTTCCGGGGAAGTAATTATGAAGGGCCATCTCAGAGACCAAAACTAATGGATGGAGAAGGTGATACTCTTTTCGTGCCAGATGTTTCTTCTGCCGACAATCAGATAAATAGTATTGTGAATAGTTCTCCAATTCTGGAAAAGACGAAAATGCCTATTTCAGACCGTGTTGAGAATTTGACGGAAGACGAAGCTGAATACAATGGCCTGCTAGATGGTTTAGGTCCACGTTTTGAGGATTGGTGGGGTACTGGAATACTTCCTGTTGATGGTGATTTGCTTCCTCAAACAATTCCTGGTTACAAAACACCTTTCAGGCTTCTTCCTACTGGAATGCGGTCACGAGTAACCAATGCAGAGTTGACTAACTTACGGAAACTTGCTAAATCGCTTCCTTGTCATTTTGCCCTTGGTATGTTCACCATCTGTACTTGTTTTGGTTATGATGTTTATTTCTGATATTAATTTCTTGCTGAACTCCTTCATTAGGGAGAAATAGAAAACATCAGGGTTTGGCAGCTGCTATAATCAAGCTTTGGGAGAAAAGTCTAGTTGTGAAAATTGCTGTGAAACGTGGAATCCAGAATACAAACAACAAATTAATGGCTGAGGAGCTTAAGGTGTGTTAATCAGTGCTTGTGAAGAATCTTTATCTTAGTTTAAGCTACTGCTTTTAAAGCAAGTTACTAAATATTGGAGTTGAATGTGTCACTTGTATCAACTTTTTGTGGTTACACCTGGTTAGTTGGAAAAATTCTTACAGATGTTTAGGGAATGCCCCTACAAGTTGTTTAGATAATCGCAAATTATACTTGTGATCAATGACTTAAAAGTAAGTTAAATAGCTTTTGTGTTCAGCTCCGTTGAACTTAGTTACTAAGGTTCTGTTGGTGCTTGTTTTGAGCTGGGTCAAAATGTCACCAAACCTATTGAAGTTTGGCTGGCCATTATTCTACCTAGTTCAGGAGTGGGTTTGCTTTGTGGTTCACAACTAAAATGACCTAGCACTTTGTCTACCCCAAATGAGGAGGATACAGCTAGCCCTTGTTTCAATATTCAGACTTCAATGCATTCATCCTTGTGTCTCAATTTATAAAGCATTTTACTTCTAAAAAAATTGAAAGAGGAATAGGAATTATTATCAGTGGTTGAACTTTGAAGTATGATAAGGAAGTAATCTCTACAGGACTGAGCAATGGGCGGAAGTCATATTTTTTGGTCGTTTTGAATTGCATATTTCTAAGCATTTGGTTGTTGAGATAAGTTCAAAATAATGAAAACATTTAATAGAGTTGTCTAACCAACAAACATGAATAGATTACCGTTTGGCATATGGGTTGGGATTAAATTAGCTAACAAAAAGACAAAATAGGCTAATTTAGCCAATAAGACAATGTCACATCTAAACAATAATCATTTTGCTTTTTCTCTCACAACCATCAAATCAACTACAAAAAAAGCCAAAAGTTTATCACAAATAGAACTTTTTTAGCCAGGCTAAAATAGCCAAAAGGCCAAGCTAAAAAAGTTTATCCCAAACAAAGCCTAAGTAGGAAAATTGAGCATTATCTATTTGAATTGAGCTTTTTGATGATTTACTGACAACACCATAAATTTCAAAGGAATTGAGTTTGAGAGAGAGAGAGAGAGAATCATAAAAACTTGATTATAAACTCTCTAAAACTCATTCCTATTGAATAGAATAATTACATAGATATTTATAGGTTGATAGACTTCTAATTTGGTTAGGACTGGCTTAAAATTAGGTTATATTAACAAATTAGAATATTCTAGACTAATAAAACCACATAAAATACTCAATAAACATAGCTGGACTTGTAAGATGACTGTAGACACGTTCTAATCCATTTACAACACAACTAAAGATTACCTTAATATCCTTGATTATTAATACCTAACAAATAAATAATAAATCAATCTAGCAACTTGCTATCTCTAATTTAAATATAATTTAAAAGTCGAAACACTACAACGAACACTTTCTTTGTCCCAAAATGTCTTCTTGTGTGGTCCTAAAACCAAAATGTTTCATTGTCATTGTCATGCAATTTGAGTAGTGGATCTCCATAATACAATCATGTGGTAATCTACTCCTGAACTTCGGCATCCAATTGCATGAATTCCACAAAGTGACTTTTTTTGAGCATTAATATTGGGTTTTAACCTTAAAAATAAATAAATAAATAAGTATTATTCAGTGTGTTTGGTTTCAGTTTTCTGAGTTTAGTTTTTTGGAAATTGAGTATTTTGTTTTTCGTATTTTATTTTGTTTTTAGTGAATATTTTTAAAATTTTAAGTAATTTTTTTACTTTTTTAGATGCACCTTACTTAAATGTATCTAAATAGTAAAATATTTGTGAAATTTTTTTTAAAAAAATTAATAAATATACAAAATACAAAAAATGTACTAATTTTTTGTTTTTATTAATATTTTTGGTATTTAGTGATTTTTTTTTAAAAATTTCATAAATATTATGCTTTTTAAGTGTATTTATATTAGGTCTATCTAAATTTTTTTTTTAAAATTGCTTGAAATATTAAAAAAAATTAGTGAAAATAAAAAAATATGAAAAACAAAATAGTAAAATTTTCTGAAAAGTGTTTTCTGAAAACTCAAACCAAGCAAAGTGGGGTTTTAAGTTCTATATTTGCCCTTTCAGATCTCAAAAAATTGTAGGCCCTAACCTTATAATAGCATTAGAATGTCTTTATACAAGGTCTCGGAGTTATTTATTTGTACCCCCCTTAGGTTTTCTTGTCTTTGTTGGAAAGCTACTCTTTGGCTTGACATGGAACCTATCAACAGCTCCAATCTTTGAAGAGGTCCTATTGTGATGGGTATACCTGAGCCTCTAAAACTATAATTGGCACATGCACTTGAATGATGAATAGGCATTTAATTGACACAAATATAGTATGTCATTTTGTGTATTTGTAAAGTACATGTAAAATAAATTGATAGAGAGAGATACAGAGAGAATGAATTATGTATTGATTGATATTATTGATTGATGTATGTTTTTTGATATTACAAATGGTGAGTGGCTCATCTTGAACATTATAAAATATGCTTTTTTCACAAAATAAGTAGAAGAATATATCACTTCTTGTTATCATCAATTGAGACATACTGGATCTGACTCCTGAACTATCACAGAATCTAACAGGAGGTGTCTTACTGCTTAGAAACAAATATTTCATTGTCATATACCGTGGAAAAGATTTTGTCCCAACAAATGTAGCTGCTGTTTTAGAAGAAAGACAGGAAATGACTAAACAGATTCAAGATGTTGAAGAAAAAGTGCGGAATGTGACAGTAGAAGCAGCTTCAGTTGTTGAAGATGGACAGGCACAAGCAGGTACTCTAGCTGAATTTTATGAGGCTCAGGCCCTATGGGGAAGAGAAATATCTGCTGAAGAACATGGTAAGATGATAGAAGAAGCTTCAAGAACTAAGAGTGCAAGGGTAGTCAAGCGAATGGAACATAAACTAGGCATTGTGAGTATGTCATTCTGAAGTTTTGATGATTGAAAAGTACTTGCAACAATCTGTAGTTCTGTGCATAAAGCCAGTTGCTTTTATTAATTGAACAAAGCTGGTTTGTCTACTTGATATTATCATTCTGTTTCACTTTTTGTATTTATGCTTTAAGGACGTCATTTCGGCAAACATTAGAGCCTAGATTCTCCTGTTAGTCATTCTTGTTGAGTAATTAAATGGTTCAATTAAATTTGACTTGGTATGATTTGAATGCATGAACAGGCCCAGGCCAAATTTCACAGAGCGGAGAGAATGTTAGCTAAGCTGGAAGCATCAATGCTTCCTGTTGGTCCTTCTGATGACCAGGAAACAATCACTGAGGAGGAACGGTCTATGTTTCGCAGGGTTGGATTAAGAATGAAGGCATACTTGCCTCTTGGTGAGTTGACTTCAATTCATCTATAACACTCTATATATTAAACTGAAAACTAATGGTTTGTTTATGTGGGTCCGCCAGGCATTCGTGGTGTTTTTGATGGTGTTATTGAAAACATGCATTTGCATTGGAAACATAGAGAACTTGTAAAGTTGATATCCAAACAAAAAAACCTTGCTTTTGTTGAGGAAACAGCGAGATTATTGGAACATGAAAGCGGTGGAATATTAGTTGCAATAGAAAGAGTCCCGAAAGGTCATGCTCTTATTTACTATCGTGGCAAGAATTATCGGCGACCCATTACCATGAGGCCACGAAACCTTCTAACAAAGTCAAAAGCATTGAAGCGTTCAGTGGCAATGCAGCGACACGAGGTTTTTTTTTCTTTTTTTTTTTGTTTTATGCCCTCATATGTTCTGTCAAATACATGATGATATTGTTGTATATAATATCCATGCCAATATCAATTTAACTATTCTCTCCGCTTCACATTATTTTTTTTTACTGTATATTTTACAGGCACTCACTCAGCACATAGCTGAACTAGAGAAAACCATAGAGCAAATGAAAATTGAAATGGTAAGTGGTAATTTTCCTACTCAATTAAATGTGCACATATGCAGACACAGCAGGCTGTATTGATGCTCATATTAATTACATTTTACCGCCTTTTGGTTTGACCGAAATCACTTTACCTCCATTTGGTTAAAAAATGTACACATAACCCACATGTGATTTGGACTGAAGTGTAACTTCTCACAAATTTTTACAGAAGGTCTATATTGCTGTTACTTTTTTTAATCCAATTTTCGTCTTTATACCACTTTCTTTTTAAAGGCAAAAGGTGATGTGTTTTTTGACTAAACTTCTGGGAGGTAATGTGTAATTAACCCATATTTTATATCCAGCTTAAGCGTACATCACAAGCATAATTTACTCAGAAGTCCACAGTAGACTGCTTTCACCAAAATAATGATTTGCTTGCAAAAATTAACGTTTGATATGCCTGCTGATTTTTTTTAGATCTTAACGCATACACCTAGGTGGATATGACCTATACAAGGTCTCACCATAATGAGTGAGATGCATTGTGGACATAGCACAACACTTTTACTATAAAAGCTCCTTCTATGGAATAGGCATAGCGAGAATGCTTTTCTAGTTCTGGAATTGACTTGATTGGGTTTATTGCCTTTGAATGCTTTTTATTTTTATTTGATTTTATATTGTTTGATAATGAAGGCAGCCGTTGTGGATTTGATTCTTCCTGTGGTTTAGTGATGCAAATATCAAAAATTTGTTGTGAACTAATGGCTTCTTTAACTTGTCAATTTATTATTTTTATCATCTTTATTGGACTTTTGTCAAAAATCATTTCAGAAGTTAGACTAATGGAAAATCTTCTTCCTAATTGTCCATAGGGTGATTGTAATGATATTGAGGACGAGAATGTCTGGAAAGAGGATCATGTGTTGGAGTTCACACAAGTGAGTTCTTACGATTTGCATTTACATAGATTAGTACTATTGTCACTTGGTTACAGTATTGGAGGCGCTGCCCATTTTCATTCGCTTAGTGCTATTTTCACTTGGAAATATTTGTTTGACCATAACAAGGAAATAATATCTTCTCACATGCAGAGTGAAGTTGAAGCTTCCCAGATTAGTTCTGATAGTGATGAAGATGGCAGTGATTGGGAAAATGAAGAATCTGAATCACTTGCTGAGCTTGGAGAACCACAATCATCCTTCTAGCAGAAAAATATGACGATTTTATTCCTATTTTTTTTTTTTTTATAAATTTATTAAGGGATAAGGGGTAGATTTTCATTCAGTGTATATGTTTGGATACATTTTGAAGTGAACTAATCCATTTAGATTATACAATGTTACACAAAACAACTGATTTGTTATAATGAATAAGCTTCTAAAATAATCCTAAATATTAATTTCAAGTTTTTTTTTTTTTTAATTTATTTTATGGGATATTAATTTCCAGTTGCTTTGCTTGATGAGTCGTTTGTTTCAAATGAAAGGATCCAGAGCATGCATGCCACATTCTATATAAGTTCTGTATTTTAAAGTTTACATGATGATTAAAAACATAAATTCCAATGAGAATTTTTGTATGTGTGCATTATTTGCTTTAGATTTTTTAGGAAAATCTGGAAGTTGTGTAGAGATAACCATGGTATGGGGTTAAGAATTTGTAGAGATGAACAAAAAAAGAAAAAAATAAGAGAAATAAAAAAATTCATATATATTTTAATTTTTTCTTCCTCTTCAATGACCTATTGAGTGTTTCCTGCCCTTTCAACTGCGCATGTATTCCGCAAGTACCCAGAGAAAAATTACACACAAAATTATTACCCAGAAACGTTTGGCATTCACATATTTCATCTTATACTACAAACTTTGACATGCTAATGAGATGCATGAATGCAAGTATGGGCCCATATGCTTCTCACAGACAGAGAAAATATCTAAGTCCGTCCTGCTTATGATGTGGAGAGCAAGAGAGCAAAATGTATTCTCATATCTATTCAAAAATCCATTTAACACAACATGAGGTTAATAATCGGATCAAAAAATAAAATAAAAATAAGATGAGGTTAATAAAATTTCCAGGGGATGCAATTAACAAGAACCTCAACTACAGAAGCTGCCAATTTTTTTATAAAAAGGAGGAGGCAGAGCAAACCATTAAAAATAAAAATAAAAAAAGGAAAAAGAAAATCAACATGTATTGAGTGACAGCATCAAATCTCTTGACTTGACCAAGGCTGGTTTTGATAAGCTTAAGGAGGAGATGGAGATGGCATTTCTGTTCCTGCTGCAGTGTCAGCGAAAGAGAGGTAAATGCCTCACATGTTTTTGGAAAACAATTTTTTTTTTTTGGGTCAGCTCACTGGCGTAGCATCTGCTGCAGCTGGAGCACTTGACTTCTTTGCTCCGGTGGGAGGAGATTAATCTGTTCTGGCGTGAGACTCATGACCTGCTGAAGTAGAGCCTTTTCCATCTCTGGGGTCAACTGCACAATCAATAAATCTTAGGCTTCGTTTAATTAGAAAGAAAAAAAAAGGGTAGAAAGTAGAAAGTGAAGCGAAAGAAAAGAAATCAAAAGGAAGGCAACTTTTCTTGCAAACATTTGATTAAGATGAAAATTTTGCAAGAAAAAGATAAAGAGAAATTTGGAATTTTAATCATAACCCCTTGCATGGACAAATTAAAATTTTCATATATTTTCCTAGGTTTATTGCAGGAAATTAAAAACTTAGTTACCATGCTAAACATGGGTCACACAAGAAAATTAACTTTTTTGTAGTTTCTTCCACCATTTTAATGCTAAACAAACTCCATTATTATTATTATTATTTTGACACTTTCTGGCACTTTCATCCTAATCCTAAACAAAATCAGCCTCGTTAAATCATGAAATTTAAGGTGGTACGAAAATTAAAGAAAGAGTAGATAAATTACGGGTGGGGGACGAGGATGCTGACTGCCCTGGCCCATCTGACCAACGGGAGCTAACAGTGGTGGTCCTGGAAGCTGTGATCCCATTGCATTATCAGCTAGACCAGGAATCCAAGCAGGCGCTCTTTCGGGTTGCATGGAGCTTCCTACTTGACTGTTGAATTCTGTACCGAAATGTGAACCTCCTACCTGGAAGAAACATGCATATGACAGACATGTAAATGTCAAGTTCCAAAACCACAAAAGTATCAGAGCCTGCATATTTTGATGATACATCAAACAAATTGCAGCCACAACATTTTTATCACTTCAACTAGCATATAAAGTGCCAATTCTGCATTTAAAATAAAGTTAAAAACCATTCTCACTGTATATATCAGCCTTGGAAACGGTTAGTTAGTACAATAGAATTCTCATGTATTGATCAATAATAATCATCAGCATTGGGTAACTAGAAAATTCAAGGCTAGGTTTAGCTTAGCAGGGCAATTTTACTCGATTAGCTACCCTAGTTTAAGGTTTTATAAGAAATGAAAATAAAAACATGTTTTCCACAGAATTGTAAGTCAATCTTAAGTTTTTTATTGTAAAAAGAAAAGGATAGCATGAACTTTGAACATGCAACAATGTAAGCTGGTATAGTGAGGCTGACTCAAATTTCTATCAATCAGCCCCAGTTCAAGGACAGGGTCATGAGTCCATCAGAAAACTGCAGTAAAAGCAACAGAATTTAGGCATTCCTCAGGCTATCCAGTCCTGAATGATCTGACACACTTAGCACGGTCACATTTAGTTGAATTCAAATACTTATGAGAGAGAGAGAGAGATGGTATACCTGATACACTGATTGAGGTGGTGGCTGACTTGGAAGTGGGGGCTGTCCCTGCGGAAATGAAGGCCCCATGCTAGGTGGAGGTTTGTTACCTAACTGCATAATTCAATAAGAAATTAATTCCAATATTGTTAAAACTCAATTGCTTAACCTATGAACTTCATAAACCAGCTTACATGAAACATGGGCTGTGAATGATGCAGCTGAGGTGGACCAGAGTGCTGGAAACCAGGGTTCTGCCCAATTTGTGAATGAATCTGGTGAGAGAAAGCCGGCATTGAAGGTGGTCTCGGTTGTGGTGGCAGTGGGGGTTGCAGCGGCAGATGCATAATGCCACTTGTCTGTATTGGTTGCTGCAACTGGGTGGAACCAGTGGGCAGAGAGGGTTGAAGTGGAGGCGGCTGTGAAACAGAATGAATTGGAAGCGGAGAAATGTTAGGAACTTGAGAGGATTGTGGAAGTGAAATTGGTGGTGCTTGGGCATTAACATGTCCCTTCGGCTGCTGTACTGACTGTAAGGCATGTGATGGCAAGGACTGGGATTGGAGGTTTAAAGGAGGAGCAGAAGTAGATGGGATTGGCATCACAGGTGGGTTTTGATGTTGCTTTCTTACAGGAATTGGAATCTGAGGCGCGCTAGTTTGGTCCTGCAAGCCATTTTGTCCTGGCAATGCATGAGTAGCCTGAACATTTGTTTGCTGAGCTGGCTGCACTGGTTGTTGTGTAGGAGGCTGCGTTACAGTTGATTGGATATTTGGAATCTAGACACAGATTGAAACAACTACTTAAAAAGATGCAACAATACAAATCTAAAAGAAGAGTTTAAAGGTGGAGAGGACATACTGCTTGAGGGGGTTGCACCATTCCAAGCATAATTTGTGCCTGATGGGACACACAAATAAGGGAAAATATGGTCAGCAGCAAAAGAAACAATTGACAGCTATAAGTCTGGATCAAAAAGTCTATAAAACCCACATAAATGGAAGCAAATAAGAGCACTAACAAGATGGGAGGGGGAACTGATATTTTCAAGGATACATGCTCTCTGTCTCTCTCAAATGAAAAACAAGGCACACATTAGAAACATAGAAGATTGAACATACTAAGGAAAGTTTTTGTTGTTGTTGTTGTTGTTGTTTCCAATTTCCACCCTTTTGTTTCCATTTCAAACACTATATCTTGACCACCAAACCACCATTTTAAAATCAAAATATATCCTATGGCAAATTTTTTTATTTTTTTTTTAAACTGAAGAAATTTTATTGAAGCAAAAAAAAGGTACAAAGGAGGACCGGGAGTCCTCTACAAGGTAACAAATAGTGCTAAAAAAACAAACTGTGAGATGCAAACAAGCTTCCAATTTTTTGAGATCAAAAAAAGCGAGACCCCTTTAAAAGGGGGAGAAACTAAAGCCCAAAATGAAGCCAAAAGCCACACTCTATCCCCACAACTTTGGCCTATGATATGTTCCAACATAGGACATGTGTAGAACACATGTCCCAACGAGTCCGAGGCAAGTAACGTGTATTGGACAATGCTACAATGATTAAAATGGAATGTGCAAGAAATATGAGGATAAGGGAATTATGTAAGACCATCTCCAATGGTTCATCAATTCTTTCATTAAATTTAAATTTGATGAAAAAACAACATTTTTCTTGCTCCAATGATTTCATCAAATTAGTATCAAATTGAGGATATAAAAAATCTTTCACCAAATTGAGAACGCCTAAAGCTCTTATCAAATCACTGTTCATAGCCGGGTGGATGTCCCCCGGATGACCATCTTTAGGCAAAAAATTTGTGAAAAAATATATTGGCCGGTCGACCAGCCGAACATCCACCAGGTCGTCTGGCAGTCAACTAGTGTTTTGATGAAAGCTCAAAATCCTCCGTTGGAGCACTTGATATCAAATGGAATTTTTACTCAAATCTGATGAAAACAAAGATGAACTAACGCTTACTCTTTTTTTACATTAAATTTGAGTAAAGATTTGGATTAAAAACTTCATCTAATACTAAGCATTTCAATGCTAAATTTTCAATTTTTATCAAATAACCGCTCGACCGGAAGAATGACTGGGAGGATGTCTGGGCGGTTGTCTAGCCTAGTGTAAATTTTCTTCAAAATTTTCCCAATCCAATCGTACCCGGTTGTCCAACCGGTCATCCAGCCGGTTGATCAGTCAGTCATCCACCAACGGTCACCTACTAGATTTGATGAAAGGTTAAACATTCCCTTAGGCCATCTCCAACCGTTCACCAAATCCAACATCAAATTCAAATTTGATGAAAAAAAGTTGCTTTTTATGCTCCAACAGTTGCACCGAACCAGTATCAAATTGAGAAAATATCAAACGTTTCACCAAACTAAAGACGGCTTGCTCCTTTCACCAATTCACTGTGCATAGCCGTTAAAGCAGAAATTTGTGAAAATTTTACACTACGGGGTCGACCCCCTGGTCGACCACCCGGTTGACCAACCGGTCGACCGGCTCATGCAAAAATTGGCCTCCGAACTGGTTCAAATGGTTCAAATTACTGGTTCAAATGGTTCAAAAAAAATTTGAACCGGTCGACCCACCGGATGTCCCTCTCCTTTTTTGATGCACACTACAGTAACCACAACCATTGGAGCTACGCGTATCAGATCAAGAAAATCAACTTTTTTTTACTTAGATTTGGTGAAAATTTTGCTAAACCGTTGGAGATGCTCTTAATTTGATGAAAAAAGTATGACTCCCTTCATTTGATACCAATATGGTGAAACGGTTGGAACATCGTTTTCACCAATTTTTTATCAAATTTAAATTTGATGAAAGATTTGAGTCTGGGTTGGAGATGGTCTATGGTGGTAGAAGTAACTCCGTGTGTGTGTGTGTGTGTGTGTGTGTGTGTGTGTGAGTGAGAGAGAGAGAGAGAGAGAGAGAGAGCATGGAGATGCTGTGAGAAGATAATATGTGGATTTCATTGAACGTAGACACTAATGATGGGAGCTAAGGTAGATACTATGAACATTGGTGGACACAAGAGAGGACTAGGGTGGTTTGTGGCCTCTGAAAAACTTACAATCAGTCTTCTAATGTAACGTTTTTTGTTTATTTGTTTGTAAATTGCAAAGGGCTGCCCCTCCAAAGCACGGTTACTACATATATATAGTTGCACTATAATCCCACTAAACATGCTAGGGTTAAGAGAGGATTTTAGATGAGAATTTGGACCAAGACAAGGACACACATGCCACAGGGTAGGGGTGCAACTCGGGCGGGCTCAACCCGAGCAACCCGAGCCCAGCCCAAGTTTTTTTAGGACTTGGGCAACTACATCTTGTAATCTGGACGGGCCTGGGCAGATTTTTGATGCCTGAATTGTAATTCGGGCCGGGATTGGACAGAACCAATGGCCGAACCCGAACCCGAACCCGAACCCGAACCCGAACCCGAACCCGAACTGAATTTAATATATTAACCCGAACCCGAACCCGAACCCGAACCCGAACCCGAACCCGAACCCGAACCCGAACCCGAACCCGAACCCGAACCCGAACCCGAACCCGAACCCGAACCCGAACCCGAACCCGAACCCGAACCCGAACCCGAACCCGAACCCGAACCCGAACCCGAACCCGAACCCGAACCCGAACCCGAACCCGAACCCGAACCCGAACCCGAACCCGAACCCGAACCCGAACCCGAACCCGAACCCGAACCCGAACCCGAACCCGAACCCGAACCCGAACCCGAACCCGAACCCGAACCCGAACCCGAACCCGAACCCGAACCCGAACCCGAACCCGAACCCGAACCCGAACCCGAACCCGAACCCGAACCCGAACCCGAACCCGAACCCGAACCCGAACCCGAACCCGAACCCGAACCCGAACCCGAACCCGAACCCGAACCCGAACCCGAACCCGAACCCGAACCCGAACCCGAACCCGAACCCGAACCCGAACCCGAACCCGAACCCGAACCCGAACCCGAACCCGAACCCGAACCCGAACCCGAACCCGAACCCGAACCCGAACCCGAACCCGAACCCGAACCCGAACCCGAACCCGAACCCGAACCCGAACCCGAACCCGAACCCGAACCCGAACCCGAACCCGAACCCGAACCCGAACCCGAACCCGAACCCGAACCCGAACCCGAACCCGAACCCGAACCCGAACCCGAACCCGAACCCGAACCCGAACCCGAACCCGAACCCGAACCCGAACCCGAACCCGAACCCGAACCCGAACCCGAACCCGAACCCGAACCCGAACCCGAACCCGAACCCGAACCCGAACCCGAACCCGAACCCGAACCCGAACCCGAACTGCTTGCTTGTGTTTGATTCCCAATTGATATATATATATATATATATATGTATACTATTTAGTAAATATTTGTTCTTGTGTTTCTTTGGTTATGTTATACATGTTTGTAAATATCATTATCTTTCTTTTTTCAGTGTAGAGGAAGCCCTTGCAAGATTGTATGTCAGACATGATGGGGGAAACTGATGGAGAGAATAACAAAGAGAAAGATCCAGTTGGGGGTGGTGCAAAACCAAAGGAAGGTAAGCGCAAGAAACCATATAAATCTAAATCTCTAGTGTGGGATCATTTTACAAAGATTAAACAAACTAATGAGAGTAAAGCAGAACGAGCAAATTGCACCTATTGTGGACGTGAATTTGCTTGTCCAAGTGTTTTAGGTACTAGCACACTTTGGAGACACCTTAAGCAATGCTCTTATTATGACGGTAATAAAGACCCAACCCAACAACATTTGTCTTTCTCCTCAACAGTTGATCTCTAGTGTGGGATCATTTTACAAAGATTAAACAAACTAATGAGTAAAGCAGAACGAGCAAATTGCAACTATTGTGGACGTGAATTTGCTTGTCCAAGTGTTTTAGGTACTAGCACACTTTGGAGACACCTTAAGCAATGCTCTTATTATGATGGTAATAAAGACCCAACCCAACACATTTGTCTTTCTCCTCAACAGTTGATAGTCAATCTCAAATTGTGAATTGGAAATTTGATCAAGAACATTGTCGTAGGGAACTTGCTTGTATGATAATCATTGATGAACTACCTTTTAGTTTTGTGGAGAAAGAGGGTTTTAAAAGGTTTGTGAATGCCTTGCAACCAAAATTTCACATTGTCTCAAGAACCACAATCACCAAAGATTGCATAGAAATTTATAATTTTGAAAGGAAACTTTTGAAAGCAATCTTTCAGAGTTCAGCTTCACGAGTTTGTCTCACCACAGATTTGTGGACTTCCATTCAAAACCTTGGGTACATGTGTCTCACAGCACATTACGTTGATATTGATTGGAAGTTACAAAAAAAAATTATCAATTTTCGTGTTCTTCCAAGTCCACATCGTGGTGAGGTAATTGCACAAGCTGTGGAAACATGCTTACTAGAGTGGCAACTAGAAAAATTAGGCACACTTATGGTAGATAACTCAAGCTCCAACGATGTAGCAGCTTTAAGTTTAAAAAGGAGGCTTGTTAAGAGGGATGGGTTGTTATTAAATGGTGATTTTTTTCATGTGAGGCGTTTTGCTCATATCCTAAATCTGATTGTGAGGGATGGAATTGAGGAGGCTAAGAGTTCAATATTGGCTCTTAGAGATTATGTGAAATATGTGAGGAGTTCCCCATCTCGATTGCAAATGTTCAAAAAATGTGCCGAGGAGGAAAGAGTTTTGGATAAGAGGGCTTTGTGTTTAGATGTACAAACACGATGGAATTCAACTTATGTCATGTTAAACAATGCAATTGAATATCAATTAGTATTTGAGAGATTGGAGGAGAAGGATGTGTGTTTCAAAATTGAGGTTAAGAATGTTATGACGAAGGAGGATTGGATGACAGTTAAAAGTCTTCACAAGTTCCTTGAGAACTTTTATGTGATAACAAAGCGTGTCTCCGGTTCCAAGTATGTGACTTCTAATTATTTCTTTCTTGAGACCAATAGGATTCAAGCTCTCCTCTTGAGTTGGGCAAATATGAGAACGAGTTCTTTTCTAGCATGGCCATGAAAATGAAATTGAAGTTTGAGAAGTATTGTAACATCGAGAAGATTAATCCTTTGTTGATTGTTGCTGTGGTTTTAGATCCACGTTACAAGTTGAAGTATGTGAAGTTTTCTTTCACAAGATATTATTTCATTAGTGATGTTGATGCTATGATTGAAAAAGTGAAGCTTATCATGAAGCAACTTTATGAGCATTACTCCACCTCTGTGTTAGAATCTATGGAAGATGTGGGTGTCTCCAAAGGTGGAAATGATGTTAGAATGGATGATCTTGGGGTTTCAAGTGTTGGGGTTGATATGCATAAACAAGATTGGCATCAATTCTTGAAAGCTGAAGAAACTGTGGTCATTAAAACCGAGTTTGATTGTTATTTGGAAGATGGGTTTGAAGAGGAATCCGAACACTTTGACATTTTAGCTTGGTGGAAAATGAAAGCTTCTACATATCGTGTGTTTTGTCTCATAGCACGTGATATTTTATCCATTCCTATATCAACTGTTGCTTCAGAATCGGCATTTAGCACTGAGGGTCGAGTGCTTGATCAATTTCGCAGTTCTTTAACTCCTAAAATTGTGGAGGCTTTGATTTGTGGACAAGATTGGTTAAGGAGTTCATCAAGTCCAATTGATGTTGAAGAAAAATTAGAGGATCTTGAGAAACTAGAGTCAAGTAAGTTAGTCTTTACACTTGTGCTTTGTTTTTAATTTACAAATCTTATTATATTATCTCAAGTATTTTAATTTTCGCAGCCATAAGGGATGAAATTGGTACTCTTTCTATATCAAGTTCAAGTAATGTTTGAAAGAAATTTTACCACGAGGTAAGAATAATTTAATATTTTATTTGACTTGTATTATTTTATTGGAGTTATTTGTAATTATGTTCTTTTTTTTTTTTTAGGACATGATTGCATTGAGATGAAGATGTGAAGATCAAAATATGAAATTTCTGTTGGATTGAAGTTTCTGTTGGACTGCAACTTGGATCACTTCTTTTTATTTTGTTGTTTTCAGTTTATGTATGAAATAATGAACCACTGTTGTTTTCAGTTTATGTTTGGCATTTGAGATGATGTTGAAGTTTGTATTGAAGTTTGATGATGTTCAAGTTTGTTGTGTGGAAGTTTTATATATACTAGTGTTTGTGGTTGTTGTTTGATTTATGCACCAGATGTTGAAGTTTGATGTTGAAGTTTGTTGTTTGATTCTTTCTTATGTATTTTATCTACAGGTTTCATTTGGTGGACACAAGCAGAGAGTTTCATTTGGTGACCAGAAAATAACTTTGAATAATTAATTACACGTTTTGGTCTACCTACAGGTTGCAAAACAAATGCTGCTAAATGTGGACACATCCAAATTTTGGTCTACCTACAGGTTTCTGGACTTGTGAATTTCGGGCAATTCGGGCTAACCTGAGTTCAAAATACAAAGCTTGGTCCGGGCTTGGGTAGCAATGCTCGGGTTTATGGTCGGGCTTGGGCGGGCTTGGGCACTGCCAAATACAATTCGGGCTGCGCTTGGGCAAACCCCCAACCCGACCGAACCCGCCCGAGTTGCACCCCATACCACAGGGTCTGGACACCAGTGCACAATGACCACTACCCAGAGATAAGAAACTAAATATACATCAAGCCCTATCACTACTGTTAACATTCACCATGGTTTTCCGAACCCTAATTACAAATAATAGTCACAAAACATAAAATTGAAAATGCATAAATTTATGTAAGAAGAATAAAAGAATACAATAAAGAAGGAAATTAAAAAACGAAATTGAAACAAACCCTAGAGAGAGACCTGGAAAAGAGCTTTAGTCAAGAGAGGATTTTGGATGAGAATTTGCCTCGCTTGTTGCTGGTTCTGTTCAATCAGTGTCTGCGCAGAGAAAGCAAGAACAATAATAAGCACATATAAGATCAATTGGTGAAACTCTTCGCAGAATTCTAGTAGTAGTGTTTGGAAAACAGAAAATTAGGAAAGAAAACAAAAGAAAATTTGAATTGAATTGAAAATTGAGCGAGACTTGCCTTCATCTGACACATAATGTCGTAGAGCTGGTTCTTCGACATTCCGGCGAGGTTCGCCGATAACCCTTCGCCGTCGGCCCCCTTTCCCGCCATTGTTGTGAGTGAGAGAGAGAGAGAGAGAGAGAGAGGGAGAGAGAGAGAGTTTCGATAGCAGGGACTGGGTCATCCGTTTTATGGGCTAAGAAAGTAAAAGCTCAGGCCCAAATATCAAATGAGGCTGACGGGCGATTCTACTCGTACTCAAACAATAATTCAGGCGAAGTTACTGATAAGTCCATGTAACAAGTCAATTAATTTCAAAATAAAATATTTATATCAATTAGTCTAACTTATTTTTAATTGTTATCAAATTTTTTTTTTTTTTTTAATTTATAGACACTATTCACATCTTACTACTGTCGGACTTCCGTTTAACGGTCGCCGGAGACTCACCGGAATGTCTAGAATATTGCCGGAAAAAAATAATTAAAAAACATGTTATGAAACTGTAAAATTTTACAGTTCTAAAGAATGTTATAAAACTGCAAAATTTTACAGTTTTAAACCATGATTCATTCCAGCACCAAAAAAAAATTTGAAACTGCAAAATTTTACAGTTTTCACCGCCTGTAACTAAAACTCGAAAACTGCTTGTTCAGAATTCGAAAATTTTCTCCATTAGAACAGAAAAACAGAAGTGTATAGCAGAGAGAAAAAAAAAAAAAAGAGATCGAAGGGGAAAGACGGATGTCTAACCAAATCTGTGTAGATCTACTCAGATCTGATGTAGATCTGAGTAGATCTATATCAGATCTAAGTAGATCCATTCATCTTCTTCGTCGGAAAATATATCATCTTCTTCGTCGGAGTTGATTTCAATGCTTGGTGGTTATCAATGAACCCCGATCAATGGAGAAAGATATGATCACCGGTGGTCCTCTTCCATGACAAACACGGTGACAGAAAAATGTAGAAAAAAAAAACGAGAGAGGAAGGGAAGCAAAAAGCAGAGAGAGAGGAAAGGATTTTTGGGTGTAGTGAAAAAGTTATGGGATTAAATGGAGATCACATGTTTCCCATAGGACCTATGGGTAATTTCCCCATAATTCAATGCATAATTAAAATTTAAAAATTTTTCTTTCTATTATATTATATGTTAATATAAACTTATTAATAAGAGTAATATACATCATATTTTAAAATAAAATATTAATTTTTTCTTATGATACATCTAAACTATTGAATATTCATTAGCACATTAATCACAAAATTCGATTTACGATTTTTTTTTTTCCAAAAAATAACATCAATTGTGGTTTAGTGTTGAAATTGATTTAATTGTGTTTTGGTTTTGTTGGCTTTGTTAGCTTTCAAAAATTAATAATATAAATTTAAGCGTGCCAGTAAGGATCAATCAGTCCTTACAGAATATTAATTGCCAACCAATTATCAGACGATTGTGTTGTAGTTCTTTCAGCCTCAATGAAGAAGACTTTTACTGGTGACTTGTTTAGGAGAAATTAGTAAATAATAATAAGTGAAAAATAATTTCAAAATCTGAATTTCATCAAGTAAATGAAAACTTACAATGATCTGACTCAACCTCGTAGAGGTTCACAGCAACAAACTATTGGAAACTACTCCTAAGAAATGAAGTGTAATACAGGAATTAAAGTGCTAGAAATGTAAAGAACTGTAAAACTGGAAGGAAAATGAAGTAAATAAACTAGTTTTTTGATCTGAGTCTGGGGATTTATTCTAGGCCCTTCCTTGCTATTTATACTTCTTAGTGGTAACCGTCGAAGTGGGCTTCCAATCGTCGAAATGTCTTCCCACGATTGCTAAACGTGCTCTCTCATAGTCAGTCCCACTATGTCACTCTTGCAGTTAGGTTTCCCTCCTGATTTTGAATTTAAACTTATGAGTAATCGTTAGGCAACATCATTTTGTATCTCTCGACTATTCCAGTGCTACGTAGATTTATTAATACCAATACGAATTGCCACGTGTCAGACTTTGATTGGCGACTTATATTAATTCCCCAAATTGCCTTTTAGGTGCCATGTGTCACTCTGCGATTGGCTTTTACAAATTGTATAGCCAACATTACCCCCCGCACTAATGTACCAAATACTTGGTGATATTAGTAGACTAGTGCATTCTACCCATGTTTCTAGAACGTGCATGGACTCTATATATTCTGGAAGTATAACTGCTTTTTAAATAATGAAGCAGTGAATTTCATTAAATCCTGGTGCTTTGCATTTCCATTATTTGAGTAAACGAAAAGACTGGAACATCCCCAATGGCCAATCACACATTCTCTTACATTGATCGAGCATATGAGGAGTCTTTGGAAGATAATTGCAGGCCTCGAAAAAACCTCAGTGCATTTATTGGCTACACCTATCTGCCTCCATGTATACAAGTCATGGAAGCTTTTGCAAATTACCAACCTTTAGACCAAGAATCTGCCAACTACAAACCTTTAGACCAAGCATTTGTAGGAATGGACCTTTGAAGCTCCTCTTCTGCCCCACCACTCTCCACATGGGACAAAGCCGCTTCTTCTTCCTTCTAGTCCACTAGTTGGGAAAGTTGGTCAAAACCTGATAAACCCTAATTAAGGGAGCGAATTCATCATCGATTTGCTGAATTCGATGATCCCCTTTCTATTCCTCCTTCTGTTCGGAGCTCAGTGGTTTACCCCTATGTACCCATTGATCATCAACGCAGTTTGGAGGACAACTTGCTTGTGGCATGGTACACGTCTTCCATGCCAACGAAGATAGTGCGAGAAACTCCTCATCCGGACGAAGCATAAGGATACAATCCATTATTCTTGGCTAAGAAGGCAAAGCTTTGCTCTTCTGACTGGCTCGAATGCGTGAATAACCCCCAATTCCTCTCTTCCTTCGGGATGGATCCCTCTGCACCTCCTCTCCCTCAGAATCCTCATTAGACGGAGGAATTGAAACTTACTCTTTTCGAGAATTAGTTTTTTCCTTCCTACCAACCTCCAGCTCTTCCAACTGCATTTGAGCGATACCAAGCTCAACTTCTGCTTGCTGCATTCTCTCACTTGCCTTTCAACATTCTTGGAGATGAGATTCCTCTCAAGAACTTTCAATGGGCCTGTGATGTTATGACTCGAGGTCATGTTCTCAACCCCATTGCCCAAGTAGAGATTCAAGTTTTTTTGGATCAACTTCTACTTCTTCTTCATTGGTACAAAATTTCTTTGGCTATCAGTGACTCTTTGGACGAAATCATAGCCAATCAAATTCGAACTCAGTGCAAAGCAGAGAACCTTATTGAAGAATATGATGACTTCAAGAATAAGGATTCAGCGTACTGTGATGATTTAAATTTGGACGAAATGGAACAAGGCTTGAAAGAGACAAAGTTCGAGGTGAAGGTTGAATAGTTTTTTCACCAAATAAGAGCATACCAGTTGCAACAACCTAGCTTTGATAGGATAGAAAATAGAATAAAGAAAGAACATAAGTTTATTGAATACTACTGGGTTAAATTTAATGAACTTGTTACTTTTTCTATTCCCTATTATTATGAAATTGGATTCATAGCCAAGTGAGCCTTTTTAATGTAATTTCGTATATATCAATAAAACTAAGGGTTTTCTTCCCCTATTTGGCATAATCTGGTTTTATGTTCCAATTGTATACTTGATTGTATGGTTGATGTGACCTTGCTCCTACTGTGTTCACAAAAACTTCGAATCAACCAATTTTGCTCTGAAGCCTAACTTAAGTATTTTCAAAGTGTGGAATTTTCTCTTAAGAAAGACAATCTTTGTCCTAAGTTTTACATTCCAATTACATGGTTAACATAATCTGTATAACCAACAGCTTCGAATCAACCATTTTTGCTTCGAAAAACAGTCTACGTGCTTCGAAGTATGGAAATTTCCCTTAGGAATTATACTACTTACTCTTAAAGAGTGAGTGCTTTTGGGTTCCTTCACTACTTGGCCAAGTACTGGTTTTGTAGTGCTTACTTTCAGAATTCACAACTTTAAACAAGATAGGCATTCTAAAGATTCTTTTGAAGGACATTACTGTATAAAGATAGTCTAGGAGAATCCTTATAGAACCTTCGAAAAGAACAAGCCTTATCTATTTTCCCTTTTGAGGCATAAGCTTCAAAGATCTTGGGAGAAAACTGGCTTCGAAGCTAATTATAGGTTTTCGAAGCCAAGCTGAGCATTTAAAAATATACTTCCCCCCCACAACTTACTCCTGAAATAGACTCTCTATGATGTGGTTTTAAAACCCCTTATGTTATGAAATTAGCATTTTAATTCCACATAAGTCAAAACCATCAAATGGTTTATTTCGGGTCTAACTGACCCGTTGGGTTGAATTGGTAATCTTTTGGACAGAAAGGTTAAAAACCCTCTTCCTTCGCGCTTTGCCTATTCACTTGCCCAAAATGTTTCTTCTTACTCCTATTGCTTTTGCCTGTAACTTTTCACTCCTTATTCACCTTCCTCTTTCAAATCCTCAATAATGGCTTTTTCGTCTTTAAAAGTGCCAGTTGTTGAGCGTGTAAGCCCCTTTGTGACTTTGAGGAGACTCATCAATGAAGAATGTGAGAAATATAAAACAGGTGAATGATGTGCTGTTGATGGACGCATCCTCATTTCTCGTCACCATGCTCAAGGAGAGTATATGCTTGGACTCATTTTCAAGGAGGCCCTTGCTCAGCTCCCTACCTTATACCCTCGTCTGGAGAACCACTGCATACTCTATGAGGGTGGCCTTGACTGGGGGAGCCGGAGATTGAACCAACCCCACCGCTACTGGCCCACAATGAGACTTGAATGGGAAAAATGGTATGATCGAGTTGTCCCCGCTAGGACGCTGGACCTTCAGGAACTCTGCCTCCTTGATGCCCTTCGTTTAGCCAGTTTTTCTATCCCTAAAGACCTTTTCCTTATACCTCTTGCACTCTGTTTTTGGAATCCATCTTTCAATTTTTTTCAATTTCGAAATGGCATGATGGCCTCTACCATTCTTGATATATGTCATCTCTTAGGATTATCCCCCATTGGCACCCCTTTTGATCCTGATTATCCTGACCTTAATGTGCCTTTTTCTACCCTTTATTTGAATTCCTCCTTTAGTGATTTTGCACATTCTGAAAACCCAAGAGAGGGCCTTGTGTCAGGCAGAGAGTT